TTTCAAACCAAGTAGCATAACATAACATAACAGTTGCATATTCCACAATATAGGTGTTCCTGTCACAGCATGCGGGCAAGCCCTTTCTAATATTTCTAATATGAGCTAGTGTGGTGCCCCCTTCTAGTGCACTTCCCGCTGGGTCTCTGTTGTCACCTTCTCCCCCCTCAGCAGTATAGGTTTCGGGGAACATTGCAAGAACTAGGTCATTATTGCTTGGATTATAGCCCCACTTGGGAACTTAACCGTGAAGTAAAGCATGCTCTGTTAGGCCGCTGTCTACACACACAAGCGTTGAAATGTGTATGGGTTATAGCTGCCCCACCGTCTAGGGCCTGCGCCTGTGCGACATCAGGATAGTGAAGTGAGTCGGAATAAGGTCGCGCTAAACAGTTGGTGACCCCCGGCAGCTGCCGAATGTTGGCTTCCCATCTCAATACCCTATTCAGGTCTGCCTGCTTGTCCCGTTTGCTTGTGTCCCCGGATCCACCCTCCCTCAGGAGCCAGGGTAATGGTAGTCGGGTGATCCCCATCCCTGTCTCGCTTTCCCCCCCCTCCCCTCTATCCATAGTGGTGTGTGTTTGCGGGTCTGAACCCCGAAGTTTTCGTAAGGGGGCTGGTACCCCAGTTGGAGAGAGAGTCCCGTTTAATGTTACTTGCGGTTATGCACTGCGTCCGTCATCAGTCTTTTATGCGGTTGTCCCCGAGGGCCGGGTAGCCTATTGGCGGGACACTCTGCTTCCGTGTAGTTGTGGAGGGAGTCCCTGGGACGCAGGTGGTGCCATGTAGAAGGTGAGTGGGTCCGGCTATGTCATATTGACGTGTGGAGTTGGAGTTCCATACTGAGGTCGCTCAGGTCCTCTGGGTGTCGGACTGTGAAAGGTCCTGTCACAGTGATGATCTGTAACCCGGTCAGGAAGTTCCATCTGTATCTGATTTTATTGGTTTGGAGGATTCTTGTGAGGGGCCTCATCGCCTGACGGTATGCCAGGGTAGCTGGTGAGAGATCCGGGTACAGTTGTATGTCCACTCTGTTTAGCGTTACCCTTTCTGTGCCACGAGCTTTTCGCAATATCTCCTCCTTGAGTTGAAAACTGGCCAAGCAACAAATTGTGTCCCTTGGGGGGGGGCCTCCGGTGGGCCCCTTGGTCTCAATGCACAGTGTGCTCTGACGAACTCGATGGCAGTGGCCCAGGATCTTGTTGAATAGTTCTCTGAGAGTATCCGACATCGGTGCTGTTTGATCAAGATTTTCTGGGATGCCGCGCACCCTGATATTTTGTCGTCTACCCCGGTTGTCCAGGTCCTCCATGTGTAAGGCCATCTGTCTCATTTGTGCAGTGTGGCGATGTAGGGTGTCAGTGTTTGCAGATTGGGCGGAGGTCAGATGGTCACAATCCGCTTCTAATTGGGACACCTTCGTGTGTAGGCCCTGGATGTCATCCCGCAGGGAGTGTAGTTCCGCGGTGATGGAGGCTCGTAACTCCGAGTTAGCCTCCTTCAAGTCTTGTCTGGTTGGGAGTGCCCGGATCAGTTGCACCCAGTCCGGCTGGGGATCCAGGGAGGTCCGGGTCTGCATCGTGGCGATGCGGGCCGGGAGCTGCCGGAGGCCTCCGAGTCAGTTACTAGATACTAGATATTGCCACAGTGAGGAGGCAGCGGATCCCTTCGGGGTGTCGGCTGTTTTGTTTGTGTGTGATGCCCGGTGAGTTTTGCCCATGGTTGCCTGGATTTTAGGTGCTTTGACAAGGATGTTGTCTGAGCCTGCCGGGGATCTCCAGGTTTACGCCGCCATCTTCCTCGGCCTCCAAACCACGCCCCCCTAAAAAATGTTTTTTATTGATCCATTTGTTCACGCATGGCAGTAAAACAGACCACACCATAAAAACAAAACAAAAAAACAGATCTACAAACTAAAAAAAAAAGATAAAAAACTTTTAGGAAACTCAATGTGTTACGTGTCTATCACTGACACTTGCTGATCAATAAACAGCACTTTTCACGGAGCGTCCTGGTGAAATTTATTGCATATGATATAAGTGTGGTCATTTTTATTTTTTCTTCTACAAGGTTCATTGTAAGATTATTTGATGCCATCGACCAGGGGTGCCCAAAAGGTAGATCCCCAGATGTTTTAGAACTATAACTCCCATGATCCTTTGCATGCATTTAGAATGTATATAGAAAGACAAAGCATCATAAAAGCTGTAGTGTTGAAAGATCTGGAGACCTACCTTTTGGGACACTTGCAGTTTATCAAAAAGCAATACAATTTCAGTTTGATCCTTCTGCATCCCTTTTTTGGAATACATTGTAACCTGTTTTTTTTCGAGCGTACAAACTACATGCTTTTATTTTCAGATCTCCCACATTCTGAACCACACAATACATTACACTACGCAATGCAGTTAGGTCCAGAAACATAATAAGTAATTGAACAAATTGGTAAAGTGTGAGATTGATATGTTATGCCTCCCACACACGACATAGAAACTAGATGTGCCCAGGTTTATTCAGAGTCAAAGTTGAGAGGTTACTAAAAAGTCAGCAGAGGTTACAGACTTGTCACCCTGCAGTTTTCATCTTGTTTGTCTTTGTAATTCTAAAATTGCCAGGTTAATATCAGACTGCTTCCATGCTGACTTATACTGTTAGTTAATGCCTAACACATAGAAAGCGGCAGGAGGTCAATCTATCTGAGGGGGCTATGAGAAAGCCAAGTTAGTGAAAGCAGGGCATACAATAGCCATTGCAAATTATCATGGGGAGCTGGGTGTTTGTTTACTGCCTAGAAAAAATCTATTTCATATGCACATGACTAACTCAATGTTCAGTTTATTTATTACCCTTGTACAATACCAGCAGGGGCTTGTCCATAAATACTACAGCATCCTATTATTCTTTGTATCCAATAATTGATATAACTATGTATGTTAGCTCTGGCCTTTTTAAGTGATTCATTAATGACATTTTGTCCTGAGAACCCACAGATCCTCTTATCTAAAAAAGAGCAGACAAAACAGCATAGACAGAAGAGGACCTATTTGAAACTCACCCTTGTGAAATACGGAGGGTTAAGCAATAAAAATACTAACTAATTTTAGCAAAAAAGGTACGTTATAGTCAATTTTTGCAAAGAAAGAAATACTCTTTTTTCCTGTCTACCATTTAGAGCAGTATGCTAACAAGGGGGGTACTCTTGGTACCTATTCAATAATCTTAAGACCTCATAATGATAAATTCTTGTTTCTTTATTACCTGACTAACCATGGAGCCTGCATTGTTTTAGCAATGGTAAAAAGGGTTATATTAAAAAGGTCTAAAACCCATTGCTTCAAAGCAATAGGATGTGGAGCTTGTAATATTCCTTTAGCACCATTGTAAAAAACTATTACACTTAAAGTTTCAGAGAACATATAAGCAATTTACCTGCTAGGCAACAATGATATTAGAAAGAGACAAAAATGCTATAATCAATTCTAGAAACCACTTAGTGCTTAAAGATGTTAAATCTTCCCATTACCGAGGAACAACACAAGGGTACCCCTGGTATCATAGATTCTACAGCACACTCTAGTGGTTATGATACTTGGAGTAACACTTTAACACTCATGGAAATTGATAATGTGAGCTATACCTCGTATTAATCAGAGCTGGACAACAGATTTTTCAGCCCACAACATATTGAGTGTGGTGATTTTACCCTAGCCTCAAATGAAAAGGACACTGTAAGCACCAAAACAACTTTAGTATACAGAAGTGGTTTTGGTGTATAGTTCAAGCTCCCGTTTAGTTCTCTGGTATTTAGGGGTTTAATCACTTTTTTAAGCAGCCCTAGCTACTCTTTACCTAGTGGAAACTCACACAAACGTCCTACACATTTCCTGAATATGTTTTATTTTTTTTAGCTTTCCTTATTTTATTAGAGTGTACACTCGAGAATTCTTTCCAAGTGCTTTTTTTTAATGTTATATAAGAGGAATATATATTTTAAAAGATCTGTGTGGGGTGATCAGTGTGTTTAATTTATAATTCCCTATATACTGCACTATTATTTGCCTGCTAGACACTGAAACATCCTGTGGGTTCAACAGAGCAGGAGGTAAGGACATCTCAAGTAAACATACGGTGCTGTAAGATCTGATTGAAAATAAAAACAATTTTTACATGCAGACTGTCAGTCACAGGCAGGGGAGGTGTGACTAGGACTGTATAAACAGAATCAAACATGATTTAACTCTTAAATGCCAGAGAATTGAGCATTGAGATTGCAGAGTCATGACCTATAAACCAATACTGCTCAATTAAGTTAAGTTAAATTGTTTTGGTATGAGATTGTTTTAAGTACCATCATATAACTATAGCAACATTTAAAATAGAGCTGTAACCACACTACAGTCTTACATTTCAGCATCACTTAAAAGCTTGATGTTATAATAAGCAATATTTTACTTTCAATGGTTTACTAGATATCACTAAAGCAATTTATGATTACACACCTTAGGCACATATTAATGCATTTGAATTAGGTATGCTCTTTGATGAATAATCAGACAGGTTTGACATTAACTTTAATAATTAATCTAGGCAGAAGAAATATATTTATTTTGAACGGACAAATAAATTGGTCATAATGTAATACAAACTAAATCCTACTGGAAACATAACTCAGTTGTGAACACAATCAAATGTTTCCAAAGGTCTTTGGAGATGTAAGAGGTAATTTCTTATATTATAGGTAAGTGCTAGCTAGCTGTCTGACTAAGCAAGATCTTACTGTTTCTTAAACTGTGAACATAGATTTCCTCATACAATATATAACACAGCCATGAATAGAATTCTATGTAAGAAGTAGAATTTGGTTAGAGTTCTGAAAGTGAAACCATCAGCAAAACTATTTTAATGGTTTCCATGGTAATTGCTCCACACTTGAAACTCTGTTGCATAATTGTTCAGTGCACATAACTTTCATTATATCAATAATACATTTCAGGAAATAAGGAGCAAACACATGAATGGAAATGAAGAAGGATAGAAAGGTGGTTCTCGCGGAGGTAAATCTTTAATCTGTGAATACTGACAACAATGTAGTTAATTTAGTTACAAGCTCTCTGGGTGGGAAGTTCAATTAAGCTACATCTGCAATTAGTCTTTTTCATGTGAGAAAGGTGAGGTCCATCTAAAACCAAAACTATGAATGATTGTTTGGTGCTGTGTTGAACCGTCGCATGAGCATCTGATGCTATGGGAAGTATTTTCTTGTTGGTAAGATAATTGAAGCTTTCCATCACTATATTAAATATTTTATTATTTAAATATCGCCAGCAAATTCCATAGCGCTGTACAATGGGGTACAATTCAGGGTGATTGTTTAAAGTACCACAATAAAACACTGACTTAAAATCACTCTGTTAATAAAAACTAAAAACTTTATCTAATCTGCTTCTATATATCTACCAATGTTTGAATACCTTTTTATTTTTTTTATTTTTTTCCTGAGAGTTGTAGTTTTCATAAAATGTACAAGAAAAAGTAGGAATTGCTTTTCCTGATGTATAGCAGTCAAATTGACAAAACTTGAAAATGGACAGCTGCCAATCAAATGTATCCAATATCCATCAGTAAAATCAATCCCACAGAAGGGCAAACAGCAGACATCATGGGCAGAGGTGACCAAAATGGTATAATATACTAGAGCAAGCATGTCAAACTCAAAAGCTAGCACGGGCCACATAAACAAGGTTTAAGTATATGTGGGCTGCAAGAAAAACAAAACCTTAAATTTTCATAGAAAAAAAGGTTTGTTTTGAAAAGTACAGTGTAAAAAAAAAATAAAAAACCAGCATCCCCCTCTGCTAAACCTCAGTCCCCCTGTACTAAATCCCAGTCCCCCCCTCTACACTAAATCCCAGTTCTCCCCCCACTGCACTAAATCCCAGTCCCGCCCTCTGTAGTAATTCACAGTCCTCCCCTCTATACTAAATTCCAGTCCCCCTCTCTATATCCTCCAGCTACTCCTTGAAAACCTGTGAATGTGGAGCACGTTGACGTCACGTCAGAATGTGACGTGGCGTTGCGTGCCTTCATACACCTCCAGGTCCTCCACTGTCCACCCGCGGCCATCTCAATACTGACCAACACACACTGACAGACACACACACACTGACAGACACACACTCACTGACAGACACACACACACACACTATCAGACAGACACACACTCTCTGACAGACACACACACACTGACATAGACACACAGACAGAAACACACACACACATTTACACATTCTTGCATACACTCATATCATTTTATTTATTGCTCCCTAACTTTGGAAGCTGGTGTGGGGTCTCTCCCTGATCTTTTCTCGGGAGCTCCCTGATGCCGGGTGCCGAAATGTCGTCATATTCCAGCACCCGGCATCACTACAGAGGGCGTGCGTGAGGGAGCAGTGAGGAACAGGAAGACTGAGCTCCCTTGCTGCCACCAGGGACCGCTCTTCCCAGCCGGGTAACTTTGGCAGAGTACGCACCTGCAATGTGGGGTGAGCAGGTGCCTACTCTGCTTTAGTAAGCATGGCAAACTCGCGGCTCGCTGGGCCCTAAAAATATTTATTGTAGGCTGCGAGTTTGACATGCTTGTACTAGAGTGTGCACTTCTTTTCACATGCTATTTTTCAGTGTTATATAAGGTGAATATTTATTTGAAAATATCTGTGTGGGGAGATTGGGATTTGTTATACACAAACACACAGACCCATATGCACACACAGACTCATACACAAACACACAGACCCATATGCACACACAGACCCATACAGACACACATAAAGACTCATATACACATGCTTGCACAACTTCATATTCACACACTAAGACTCATGCACACACACAGACTTATACACAAGCCTCTCTTTTCTTACTGTGAAAGGGAGTTGCAATGCAACCTCATCCCTTGGGTCCAATGGTTTGCTGCTGGGATCAGTAGAGGATAGGCGAGGGAGCAGAATATAGTTACATAGTTACATAGCTGAAAAGAGACTTGCGTCCATCAAGTTCAGCCTTCCTCACATATGTTGTTGCTTTTGATCCAAAAGAAGGCAAAAAACCTAGTCTGAAGCACTTCCAATTTTGCCACAAACTAGGAGAAAATTCCTTCTTGACCCCAAAATAGCAGTCAGATATCTCCTTGACCAAGCAGCTATTACCCCACTCAGGCCCGGACTGGCCATCGGGCATACCGGGCAAATGCCCGGTGGGCCGCGATGGCTGTGGGGCCGAGGCCGGCAGGGGAGATCACAGGATCTCCCCGGCCGGCTCCTGCAGGGCCAGCACTACCCGAGCGCCGGCCCCGCTGTGTGCCTCCATGGGCCGGTGGGGAGATCAAAGATCTCCCTTTACCGGCCCAGAGACACTTCCAGGCGGCCGCTTGCTGGGGTGTGAGGGAGGGAGGGAGAGGACCGGCGGAGCTCTATCCAGCAGCTCCGCCGGGTCCTCTCGCGGGATTCTGAGCGTTGCCGCGGTTACCGCGGCAACGCTCAGATCTCGCGAGAGTGAACTCTAGCCTACAGGCTAGAGTTCACGCTCACCACTAGGACCACCAGGGATCAGGCAGCAAGGCCTTTCCCATGGCAGAACGGCTCCCCCCCCCGTCCCAGGCAAAACGGCCCCCCCCTCCCAGGCTAAAGGTAAGAAGGGAGGGGGGGGATATAACTTTTTTTTTAAAATTATTATTATTAATTAAAAAAAAAAAAATTTAAATTAAAAAAAATCACACTCACACACATCACCCCCAGACACACACACATCACCCCCAGACACACACATCACCCCCAGACACACACATCACCCCCAGACATACACAGCACCCAGACACACACAGCACCCCCAGACACACAGCACCCAGACACACACAGCACCCCCAGACACACAAAGCACCCCCAGACACACACAGCACCCAGACACACACAGCACCCAGACACACACAGTACCCCCAGACACACACAGTACCCCCAGACACACACAGCAACCCCAGACACACACAGCACCCCCAGACACACACAGCACCCCCAGACACACACAGCGCACCCAGACACACACAGCGCACTCACTCACACACAGCGCCCTCACTCACACACAGCACCCTCACTCACACACAGCACCCTCGCTCACACACACACACACACACACATATATATATATATATATATATATATATATATATAAAATAACCCTCAGTGAGTTAACAGACAAAGAAAATTAGAATGTGACGGCAGATAAAAACACCCTCACACACAGCACCCCTCTTACATACACACACACTGCGCCCCTCACACATACAATACGTCCAAATATATATATGTATGTTTATATATATATATACACACACACACACACACACTACAGCACTACATACATTACGCTCCAGATACACGCTAGATCCCTTACCTTATATGCACTCTTAATCCTCTATACACACACACACACACACACACAATCTCCTATACACACTCTGGGTCCTTTACACACTAGATCTCCTACACACACACTGCACCACCTACACACACACTACATTCCTTGTCAGCAAACACATACAACATTCTCTAAACACACCCTCTCTACAACCCCTACACACACTACGTCACCTATACACACACTACAGCCCGTATGCACACACTCGCTACATCCCCTATAACACTATGCCACCTATACACACACTCTCTACAGCCCCTAGCCACACATATTACACCACAAACACATATGAAATTGACCTATTTACACAATACCACACCACACTCTACACACACGCAATCCCACAAGCAGGCTCCAAACACATGCACCATACACTTTCCTGGCCCTTTTGTCCTCTGGTATCCCACTTGTGGAGACACCAGAGACAATTTAAAAGCAAACACAGCGCAAGCATGTTATTAAATTTGCTTGCGCTGCGCAGAACAAATACAGGGCCTTTTTCTAATGCCAGAGCTCTTCAGCAGGGCTCTGGCATTGAACCAACATGCTCACTTTGAGAGGGGGCGTGCTTGTCATTAGTGATGACAAAACACACCCTCTCTGGCCCCGCCCCCTTCTTAGGGGGCCGCTCTGATTGAAAAATGCCCGGGCCTAATTTTTTCCCCAGTCCGGCCCTGACCCCACTAATTAGAAATGATATCCCTGTATGTTATGTTTTTGTAAGTATTTATCCAATTGCAGTTTAAACCTCTGTGGTGACTCTGACAAAACCACCTCTTCAGGCAGAGAATTACATATCTTTATTGCTCTTACTGTAAAAAAACCTTTTCTTTGCCTTAGATGAAATCTCCTTTCTTCCAGCCTAAATGTGTGACCTCGTGTCCTATGTATAGCCCTGTTTATGAATAGATTTCCAGATAAAGGTTTGTACTGGCCCCGAATATATTTGTATAAAGTTATCATATCCCCTCTCAGGCGCCGTTTTTCCTAAACTAAACAGACTTAATTTTTTTTACCTTTCTTCATAACTAAAATGCTCCATTCCTTTTATCAATTTTGTAGCTCGTCTCTGGACTTTTTCTAGTGCCATGATATCTTTCTTTAGAACAGGTGCCCAAAATTGCAAAGCATATTCAAGGTGTGGTCTTACCAGCGATTTATAAAGAGGCAAAATTATATTTTAATCCCGAGAATTTATGCCCCTATTTATACATGACAAAACCTTACTGGCCTTAGCAACTGCAGATTGACATTGCATATTGCTGCCTAATTTGTTATCTATAACAATTCATCTGCCATTTTAGTGCCCAGCCCCAAATCTATCCAAGTCCCTCTGCAGGAAAGCAATATCCTGCGGCGAGGGAGCTCTGATCTTCCTGCTCCTTTGCGCACCCCAGGATGCCGGGATATGATATCACAAAAGGTTTGCATGAGGGAGCAGTGCAGAAAGAGTGTGAACATCAGAGCAGCACCACTAGACCCCAGGGAGAAAATCCACACCAACTCTCTCAAATGTAGGGAGCAGTGGCGTACATACCATGGTCACAGGGGTTGCAGCTGCGACCGGACCTGGCCGCGCTGAGGACCCCTGTGTTAGGGTGCCGCAGTCATGTTTTGCAGGCCTGGCCCGCGTGGTATAACCACTGGAGTCGCATGTTGAGGGGCCCCTTCAGGTGGCCCATGCTGTTCAGGCCACCTGATGGCTATGGATTTCCAGCGGGCCCGGTCAGCTTTAACAGCGCGACCGGGCCCCCTTTGATGACATCACAGCTGGGAGGAAGTGACTGACCCGTCACTCCTCCCAGCTTACAATGGGAGCCGCATGGGAGGAAGAGAGGAGGGAGTCAGAGAGGGAACTCTGACTCCTATCAGGCTGAGCCAACACTGCACCCCAGGAAAGTCACGCACCTGCATCGAAAAGGTAGGAAACAGGAGGGTGACTAAAATATTTTGTATATGAGTGTGTTTGTTTGTACGTATGTGTCTGTATGAACTTTTCTTTGTGTGTATGTCTGTCTGTGTGTGTTGTCTGTGTGTGTATGTATGTGTGTGTATGTCTGTGTATGTGTGTGTTTGTATGTATATGTTTGTCTGTATATATGTGTCTGTGTGTGTGTGTTTGTATGTATGTTTCTATGTATGTATGTGTGTTTGTATGTATGTGTGTGTGTGTGTTTGTATGTATGTGTGTGTCTGTATATATGTGTCTCTGTGTGTGCGTTCGTATGTATGTATGTGTGTGTGTGTGTACAGTGGTGTACATGCAGGGGTCGCAACTGTGATCGGGCCTGTCACTCCAGGGGGCCCAGCAGCCCTGCGGACCCCTGTGACCGGGTGCCCGCCGCCATGTTTTTGCGGCCCGGCCCACGGGGTGTAACTAATTTTTTGCAGACCTGCTCCACCACCTTGTAGGGCTCTTGTCAGGCGGCCTGCAGATTATCATGGACCGGTTTCAGCCAAACTTTCTGCCCGATATGAAAGCTGCAGTTCCTTGTCCCCGTTTAATTAAATACCATACTCACTGTCTACTCTGGGCAGGCCAGTGGTTCTCTTGCACGATCCTTGTCAGCTGCTCCAAGCAGGCCCTCAGCTCTAGCACATAAGATATGGTAGGGGTCCCTTTCATCTCTGCTTCTCCCTCCCAATGTTCCCTGATGAGATCTAGAGGACCTCTCACTCTTCACCCATACAATGATTCAAACGGAGGAGAACCCCAGAGATGCGGCAAGAATCTCTCCCAATCCTTGCAAGCGGTGGTGAACATCCAAAGCATTTGGTTCAGCGTTACATTTTGTCCCGGTTCCCGGTTCCCGGTTCACTCCTTAGCTGATATCTCCTTGTGCAGTACCATTGATCACCACTCGCCCTGTTTGGTGCTATTCCCTACATGTAGGAACATTAGCACTTCAGCTGGCCCTTGTTAGGCCCCTTTATAGCCTGGCCTTGTTTCATTTTTTCTGTTGCAGTATAGGCCTTGCATCCTCTGGCTCTGTATCTTGTGACCCTGGCCTTGCATCCTGTGGCTCTTGCCTTGCATCCTGTGGCTCTGTATCTAGTGACCCTGTATCACGACTGCTAGTGAGGTCCAGCACGCAGAACTATGTAACATCTGCATAGACAGAACTGAAAATTATAGAATGTAAACTGGTCCTTAGAATGGCCGGATTAATACTTTAGCGACAGAGAATGGTCAAGGGATAGCCGAGGTCAAGGAAGCCAGAAATATACAATACCGTTTAACAAACCAAGTCAGGGAAACCAGAAATCAGAAGTCATAGCCAAGGTCAAAATACCAGGAATATCAAGAACAGGACAAGAAAACACACGCTCGGGAATCAGGAACGGAAACCACGACAGGGCAAAGAACAAGGGAACTTCAGAACGTGCATGTGCGTCGATGTCGTGATGTCACACGCACGTTCGTGTGACCCTGGGGGGTGGAGCTATTTATGGCTGCGACCGAATAGTCGGCGCCATCTTTATTCCGGGCAGGCGACCAGGAGAACCCGGCGGAGCGGCTCCTGACTCTCTGCTGAGCAGGTAAGCTCAGTGTGTCGGCACGACCGCACCTCACAGCAAGTCGGGGGCCGTGACACCCTGACCTTGCATCCTTTTGGCTCTGACCGTGCATCCTGTGACTCTGGACTTGAATCCTGTCTTTTTCCTGTGCAACATACCTGGTCCTGCCCAGTGTACTCTATTTAACCAACTGTACCCTGTGTGAGAGAAAAATTGGAATAGTGGTTGAAGGAAGATATATCAGGCCTGATTTGCTAAACAGCAGCCAGAGAATTTTCAGTTAAATGCCCCAGGGAGAGATGTTAAGTTTGCAATATACATTGCTGATGCTCTGCAAAACATGGTATGGGTCCCTGGGGCGGAGCATTTGGAGAGCAGGGTGGGCCAATGCTCGAACAGCACTATATTTGATATTTGTTTACATCTTATAATATATATATGTCAGCATTCATTCCTTGTGGTTGTCAGTTATTTTCTCTGCATGATGGGTTCCTGTTCTTGAAGGGATTTGCTGTCATAGGTCAGCACCCTTTCCTACCCTGACACATTTATTTATTTTATGTATTACTGGTATTTATAAGATGCTGTACAATTAGTGGAGGACATTCAATATACACAGACAAATACAAAAGGTAGAGAGATTAAACCGCTCACTGAGGCCATTCATCTGGGAGTAGAGCTCTAGATAGGCCTACAATATCCACTGCTACCATACTAAATGGCTCTTCTACAATGGGCAAAGATTGTAGCCGAGCCCAGGGACAGTCTCCATTTTATCCTGTTTGCTGACAGACATCACAGGTCTGGCAGTATTGCTGAACATACTGGGAGCTTCTGGGACAAAATACATTTTGAATAACTTGATGTAAGGTCCGTCGAATACCTAGGTCTTCTGCCAGGGGAATACCATGCCCAATCCACAGAAGCTCCAGCCAGTACTTCTGTGGGATTACCAGCTGCTGATTCAGCGCTGGGGCCACACCTCGGTTAGGGGTTCTTGTTACCCTATACAGTTATCCTATGTGTTAAGGGTTAATAAGTATGTAGGGGTTTAAAAAAAATACCCCTCTCTGTCTCATTAGAGATTGCTTTGCCTGAAGCTGAAGGAAGCAAGGTGAATTGTTAGTGTAGGAGACACCTAGGAAGTTTGCCTTGACGTGGCAGGTGGGCTTAAACCTAACGGCCATTGGAGTGAAAGAAAAAAAACTCCATTTGTTTAAATATGCATAGGGATTTGGGGTAGTGCGCAGGTAACTCTTTCCTTTGTTTTTTATAGTAATCCCTGAGTCTATATAAAATGTTCCCCTTCTAGCCCCGCTAGCGACATGATCTGTACTGCTGTAAGGACAAGTCCTCAGCTACTCCCCTCCCAAATTCTGCTGGGATATCCCATGCTAGTGGAGCTGTCACTACAGGGTGGGATGAGGTTAGTTTGTCCTACCTGGGTCTCATCTGAACATGGTCTCGCTCGAGCTTGAAGATGGCTAGTTACAGGATGAGCCTCTTCTGTCGGTGGAGAATGTGGAGGTGAGTTAACTGTTGTTTATGAGCAAGACTTCGGAAGATAGATCGCTCATGATCCCTGCTTCCATGGTGCCAGATCCTGCACCCCACTCTAGATGAACACAGGCTGTTGTACTAGATGTACATCGTTGTCTAGATCTGACAGATCTGCCGGTCTTATCCACTTCCCGATAAGGTGTCTCTGTACCAGGTCAGCGTGGCACCGGTATCCATCAGACCTTGTGCTACCCAGCCGTTTACCAGAACCAGTTGCTGGTGATGTTGCTGGTTTTCAGCTGCTGCCTGAATGTGGTCGGCTTCATGCAGTTTTCCCCAGAACTGTTTGGGTCCATAATTGGTTTTCTCATAAGCCAGTTCTTGGTTTGTGTCCAGGCAATGTGCAGCAAACAAGGGGCGGAAGGGCTAGGTTGATGGCAGGTGTTGCATGGAAACTCAAGGGGCACAATTTGCACAATTTGCTTACAGCAGTAGAACCAGTGCCTGGGTAGACTGCTGGGGCTGGCACATCTGGTGCCAGGAGCTGGGACATCCGAAGAGGTATTCCAGGCCCAGGATGATGAGTCTCTGTGTGTGACTATGTCCGAAGATTCGGGTGGTCAGTCTTCCTAGCATCAGCGTACTCATCCACTGGTTGAGTTTCTTCAGGGAGTATGGGGAGTTTGCCTTTCCCAAACCCATTATGAGATCTCCGGTGCAGGGGCACCGTATAATTGATCAAGGAGAAGGAGTTGTACCACATCCTCCAGCATGCATTCCAATGCATTGCTGTCCAATCTAGTTGGCAGACCAATTTGGTGAAGGAGACCCTCTTTCGGAGCTCACAAAACTTTCTGCAGTATGCCGTGTTACTACAGATCGAGTCAGCAGGGCTTCCTTCATGTGATCCTAATTCCGCAGATCTTCGTTGGGAGCAGAGAGGTAGACTTCTGCAGCTCTACCCGACAATTTACCAGTCAGAATGGGAGGGAACCCAGTGTCACAGCACACCGGTAGAGGCTGGTGCGCTGTGCTCACTCACCAGATGCCATATGGATTTCGGCGTCCTGGGTGTGGGGGACGTGCCAAACCCTTCATTAGGCCACCAGCTTATACCACAGCACTTCAGCAGCGTGCCATGAATGCAAGGTGTACCGCACTATCCTCGCCCCCCAGCCCCTGCAGCCACTCCATGTGGGTTGCAACTTGCAGGGGAAGGCAGGCACGCCATGTCAACCCTTATGCTTACCTCTCCTACTGTGGGCATGTTGGGTGATATGTATTGTGTGTTCCCCATTCTGCTCCAGGTTCCCCTCAGGGTGACAAAGCTCTAGGAAATAAAGATCAGCAAGCATGCAAGCAGCATGGAGGTTTGCAAATTAAATGAACAAACTGCCATAGCCTCCCACCCAGATAGGGAGGTGTGGACACCTACTCACCAGAGGAGCCTTCCAAATATATAGGCCCTGAGACTCCTACTTGTGGGAGTGCTCCTATTACATCTCCCCTATTTAAGCACAGGACTCCCTAGGTCAGGCATAGGCAACATTTGGCACTGCAGATGTTTTGGACTACACCTTTCATGATGCTTTGCCAGCATTATGGGTGTAAGAGCATTATGGGGGATGTAGTCCACAACATCTGGAGTGCGGAAGGTTGCCTATCCCTGCCTTAGGTTCTGAGCAGATCCTGTCTGAAGTTATCAGGTTATCTTCACCTGCCAGGATTTCCTGAATTAACCCCTGCCTGTCTGGACTCTGGTAATACTCTTTGCTTTCTGGGTTTCCTGAATTTACCCCTGCAACTCCTGTTCCAGCCTTGGTTAACCCCTGCAACCCTGTTCCAGCCCTGGTTTAACTCCTACAATCCTGCTACAACTTCAATCAAGCCTTTTACTCTTGTAAAAGACTTTATGTTATCTCAAGGACTTTTATTTCCTATAAAGGAAATTTGCTGCTGTGACGTCCTCCATGACCTGCTAAATAATCTCTGTTGAAGAGTTTGGGCCAAACAGGGATAATTGGGTCTTCACATCCCGGTAGAAGTCGGCCCCCTCAAAGGATCCAGAGGATGCGGAGCCACTAGTTCGGCTATGAGGGTGGTTTTAGCCTAATTGCTGGTAATCCTTCCCCTCACCTCCAACAAGTCCTTTAAGGTATTCTTTTTTTTCAGGCACTCATAGGACTTCGCCATCCAGGTTCCATTCACTAGTTTTCTTCACTTTTTCAGAGTATCACTCTCCTTGGTCTTGGGAAAGGCATTATCCCACTTCTGCCACCAGTTGTGAAGGGACCGCTCCTAGTTCACCAGAGTGATGCCGTCAGGGATTCCCTTTCCCCACTGAGTATGACTCAGAGTAATTATACTCATTATCCCAATCATCAGCCAAGGCTTGATGCAGGGTACAACATGCACACTCTATTGGGTAACATTGTTTTGTTTGTATTTTTTAATTCTTTATTTTCAGTGACCGGGTGTACAGATAATGATAAATACCAGACATCATAAAACTTGTTGAAGTTATGATTGCGCAGTCTGTGGTCTTTTCCATTCTGATTATTCTTAATAATATCTGCTAATATTTTTCAATATACATCTCAGTTCTGATGATTGTACAATGACTACCAATAGTTATACAATATAACATATAAGAGAAATAGAGTGAATTAGAAAGTAAAGTTCAGTGTTATTATTTAACAATTTCAATCTGACCATGTCAATTGCTTGTCTCCTTGGGAAAGGCTTACTTTTGATATGTTAAAACAGTCAAGGTATATAGCCTCATTCTGTATAACTTTTGTCAGTTCTGCTTTGTAAGAGGTTACGAGTAAGGAGTATAGGGAGAGGATATGGGGTGAACTATCACATCGAGAAACAGGTAAGAACGAACTATGCGTTGAAACTTTGGGCTAGCTTAATGGCCACTGGTTGGGGGCTGTGCTATTTTGTGTCTGTCTGTATCCAGGTAATGCATATGTGTCCATATATCCAATGGCCACTACTCTATCCTAAATCTTCTTGATCTTTCTGCTGCTTTTGACACTTTTGATCATCAACCGCTTCCTCTCATTCTCCATAATCTCTGTCTACGAGATACCTTTCTCTAATGGTGCTCTTCCTACCTCTCCCAGCACTCATTCAGTGTTTCTTTCTCTGGCTCTGCCACTTCTCCCCAATCCCTCTACATTGGTGTTCCCCAAGGGTCTGTCCTTGGTCCCCTATTGTTCTCAATTTACAATGCCTCCCTTGGTAAACTCATCAGCCCCTTCGGCTTCCAGTATCATTTCTATGCGGATGACACACAAATTTAATCTGTCCTCCCCTGATTTCTCATCACCCCTCATGACTCGTGCCTCTGACTGCCTCTCTGCTATTTCCAACTAGATGGCTGCTCATTTCCTTAAACTGAACCTGTCCAAAACAGAACTTCTGGTCCTCCCTCCAGTGTTGCTACTCCCTTGTCTGTGTCCTTCCAAGCAAGGAGCTACCATTCATGCTACCTCTCAGGCTCTCTGCCTAGGTGTTCTCTTTGACTCCGACCTCTCCTTCACCTCTCATGTCCAATCAATCGCCAAATCAAATCCTGCTGCTTCCATCTCAAAAACATTGCACGCTTTCGGCCCTATTTAATGCCTGATACAGCAAAGGTGCTTGTTCATGACGTTTTTCTCTCTAGCCTAGATTACTGTAGTCAGCTTCTCAGTGGTCTTACGTATTCCCAACTTGCCCCATTACAGTGTATAATGAATACGGCTGCAAGGCTCATCTTCCTGTCCGCACGCACCACCCACGCCTCCCCCCTTTGTCACCCAATCTCCACTCCTTTTAAAAAATCTTTGAAAACGTACTTCTTTAGGAAAGCATATCAATTAAACAGCTTTCCCTCCCCACGCCCTGATTCCTCTCCTGAAACTGTTATCAACAAAAAAACACTAAGCCCTCAATAAATACTCTACTAGCAACCTACTTTTCTACCCTACTATTACCTTTTGTGTCACTATAACCCACTCCCTCTAGCATGTAAGCTCATTGAGCAGGGCCCTCAATATTTATTTTCCTGTGCGTCCAACTTGTCTGGTTACAAATACGTGTCTGTTAGTCCACCCATTGTACATCGCTACGGAACTTGTTGATGCTTTATAAATAATAATAATAATAATAAAATCATGCTTCCTGTATCTGTTGAGATAGTATATCAGTGTATATCGGTGTAGAGAACGATATGGTAGTCTGGTAATGGTAATCCCAATGCCTAGTTTTGCAATGTTTCTTCTCCTACCCAGGGCCGGCATTAGGGGTGTGCGAGCTGTGCGGCCGCACAGGGCGCCATGGAGCAGGGGGCGCCCTGCGGCCGACACAGCTCACACATGGCTGGCCGGGATTAAAAAAATATTGTGGCGGGGCGGAGCGGAGCTTACTGTGTGGCGGGGGTGGAGCTAAAAGTGCCGGGTAACTGCTGCAAGGGAAGCAGGAAGGAGTCCCTGCTTCCCCCAACAAACAGTCTCCAGGAGCTGCCTGCACTGCCTGTCTGCCTTCACAATGAACAGATGTGTGATTGTCTGTGTGAGTGTGTCTGTGTGTGTATGACTGCCTGCCTGTGTGTGTGTGTGTGTGTGTGACTGTCTGCCTGTGTGTGTGTGTCTGTGACTATCTGCCTGTGTGTGTGTCTGTGTGTGTCACTGTCTGCCTGTGTGTGTGTGTGTGTGTGTGTGTGACTGCCTGCCTGTGTGTGTGTGTGACTGTCTGCCTGTGTGTGTCTGTAACTGTATGCCTGTGTGTGTGTCTGTGTGTGACTGTCTGCCTGTGTGTGTGTATATGACTGTCTGCCTGTGTGTGTGTCTGTGTGTGTGTGTGTTTATGTATGACTGTCTGCCTGTGTGTGTGACTGTCTGCCTGTGTGTGACTGTCTGCCTGTGTGTGTGTGTGTGTATGACTGTCTGTCTGTGTTTGTGTGTGTGTGTGTGTCTGTGTGTATGACTTTCTGCCTGCGTTTGTGTGTGTGTGGCTGTCTGCCCGTGTATGTGTGACTGCCTGCCTCTGTGTGAGGATGTCTTCTTGTGTGTGTGGATGGCCGCCTGCCTCTGTGTGTGTGTGGCTGTCTGCCTGCGTGTATGTGTGTGGCTGTCTGTGTGTGTGTGGCTTTCTGCCTGTGAGTGTGTGTGTGTGGCTGTCTGCCTGTGTGTGTGTGTGTCTGTCTGTGTGTGTGAGACTGCATGTAAGTATGTGTGTGTAAGAATGTGTGTGTGTGTGTGTGTGTGTAAAACTGTGTGTGTGTGGCTGTCTGCCTTTGTCTGTGTGTGGCTGTCTGCCTGTGTGTTTATCTACCTGTAACTGTGTATGTGTGTTACTGCCTGTACCTGTGTGTTTCTTCACCTATGTGCATGTGGTGGATTTGATAGTGTATATGTATAACTGTGTGCATCTGACTGTGGGAATGTGTGCACGTAACTCTGCAAAAATATACACCTGCATTCACACACAAGCCTAAATGCATGTTTTTATCTGAATTAAATAACCATCACACACAGCCAATAAACCCAGCACAAATATCACATACAACCAATACATGCATATCACGCACTGTTAATACACCCATTACAAATATCACACATAGCATACATATCACACACAGTCATAACATCTATCACATACACAGACAACACAAACATTACATCATACATGGATGACGGGGGGGGGGCGCTGTGAAGAATTTTGTGAGTGTGGGTGACTGTCTGCCTGTGTGTGTGACTGTGTGTGTGTGTGATGTTCTGCCTGTGTGTGTCTGTCTGACTGTCTGCCTGCGTGTGTGTGTGTGTGTGTGTGTGTATGACTGTCTGCCTGTGTGTGTGACTGTCTGTGTGTTTGTTTGACTGTCTACCTGTGTGTGTCTATGTGATGTTCGGCAGGGGTGGAGCTAAAAACTGCTGCAAGGGAAGCAGGAAGGAGTCCCTGCTTCCCCCAACAAACAGTCTCCAGGAGCTGCCTGCACTGCCTGTCTGCCTCCACAATGAACAGAGGTAACTATGTGTGATTGTCTGTGTGAGTGTGACTGTCTGTGTGTATGACTGCCTGCCTGTGTGTGTGTCTGTGACTGTCTGCCTGTGTGTGTGTCTGTGTGTGTGTGTGTGACTGTCTGCCTGTGTGTATATGTGTGACTGCCTGCCTGTGTGTGTGTGACTGTCTGCCTGTGTGTGTCTGTGACTGTATGCCTGTGTCTGTGTGTGACTGTCTGCCTGTGTGTGTGTGTGTGTGACTGTCTGCCTGTGTGTTTATCTACCTGTAACTGTGTATGTGTGTTACTGCCTGTACCTGTGTGTTTCTTCACCTATGTGCATGTGGTGGATTTGACAGTGTATATGTATAACTGTGTGCATCTGACTGTGGGAATGTGTGCACGTAACTCTGCAAAAATATACACCTGCATTCACACACAGGCCTAAATGCATGTTTTTATCTGAATTAAATAACCATCACACACAGCCAATAAACCCAGCACAAATATCACATACAACCAATACATGCATATCACGCACTGTTAATACACCCATTACAAATATCACACATAGCATACATATCACACACAGTCATAACATCTATCACATACACAGACAACACAAACATTACATCATACATGGATAACGGAGGGGGGGGCGCTGTGAAGAATTTTGTGAGTGTGGGTGACTGTCTGCCTGTGTGTGTGACTGTGTGTGTGTGTGTTTGACTGTCTGCCTGTTTGTGTGACTGTCTGTGTGTGTGATGTTCTGCCTGTGTGTGTGTGTCTGTCTGACTGTCTGCCTGCGTGTGTGTGTGTGTTGTGTATGACTGTCTGCCTGTGTGTGTGACTGTCTGTGTGTTTGTTTGACTGTCTACCTGTGTGTGTCTATGTGATGTTCGGCAGGGGTGGAGCTAAAAACTGCTGCAAGGGAAGCAGGAAGGAGTCCCTGCTTCCCCCAACAAACAGTCTCCAGGAGCTGCCTGCACTGCCTGTCTGCCTCCACAATGAACAGAGGTAACTATGTGTGATTGTCTGTGTGAGTGTGACTGTCTGTGTGTATGACTGCCTGCCTGTGTGTGTGTGTGTCTGTGACTGTCTGCCTGTGTGTGTGTCTGTGTGTGTGTCTGTCTGCCTGTGTGTATATGTGTGACTGCCTGCCTGTGTGTGTGTGTGTGACTGTCTGCCTGTGTGTGTCTGTGACTGTATGCCTGTGTCTGTGTGTGACTGTCTGCCTGTGTGTGTGTGTGTGTGTGTGACTGTCTGCCTGTGTGTCTGTGTGTGTGTGTGACTGTCTGCCTGTGTGTGTGTCTGTGTGTGTGTATGTATGACTGTCTGCCTGTGTGTGTGGATGTATGACTGTCTGCCTGTGTGTGTGACTGTCTGCCTGTGTGTGTGTGTGTGTATGACTGTCTGCCTGTGTTTGTGTGTGTGTGTGTCTGTGTGTATGACTGCTTCCGTGTGTGTGTGACTGTGTGTGTGTGGCTGTCTGCCTGTGTGTGTGTGACTGCCTGCCTCTGTGTGAGGATGTCTTCCTGTGTGTGTGGATGGCCGCCTCTGTGGCTGTCTGTGTGTTTGTTTGACTGTCTACCTGTGTGTGTGATGTGATGTTCGGCAGGGGTGGAGCTAAAATGCTGCAAGGGAAGCAGGAAGGAGTCCTGCTTCCCAACAAACAGTCTCCAGGAGCTGCCTGCACTGCCTGTCTGCTCTCCACAATGAACAGAGGTAACTATGTGTGATTGTCTGTGTGAGTGTGACTGTCTGTGTGTATGACTGCCTGCCTGTGTGTGTGTGTGTGTGTGTGTGTGTGTGTGTGTCTGTCTGCCTGTTTGTATGTGTGACTGCCTGCCTGTGTGTGTGTGTGACTGTCTGCCTGTGTGTGTCTGTGACTGTATGCCTGTGTCTGTGTGTGACTGTCTGCCTGTGTGTGTGTGTGTCTGACTGTCTGTGTGTGTGTCTGTGTGTGTGTATGTGCTGTCTGCCTGTGTGTGTGTCTGTGTGTGCATGTATGTATGACTGTCTGCCTGTGTGTGTGTATGACTGTCTGCCTGTGTTTGTGACTGTCTGCCTGTGTTTGTGTGTGTGCCTGTGTGTATGACTGTCTGTGTGTGTGTGTGGCTGTGTGTGTGTGTGTGTGGCTGTCTGCCTGTGTGTGTGTGACTGCCTGCCTCTGTGTGAGGATGTCTTCCCGTGTGTGTGGATGGCCGCCTGCCTCTGTGTGTATGTGTGGCTGTCTGGCTGCGTGTATGTGTGTGGCTGTCTGTGTGTGTGTGGCTTTCTGCCTGTGTGTGTGTGTGGCTGTCTCTGTGTGTGTGAGACTGTCTGCATGTATGTGTGTGTAAGACTGTGTGTGTATGTAAAACTGTGTGTGTGTGGCTGTCTGCCTGTGTGTGTGTGTGGCTGTCTGCCTGTAATTGTGTGGGAGTGTGTTACTGCCTGTACCTGTGTGTTTCTGTCTGATCCTGTGTATGTGACTATCTGCCTGCGACTATGTGGATGTGGTGGATTTGACAGTGTATATGTATAACTGTGTGCATCTGAGTGTGGGAATGTGTGCACATAACTCTGCAAAAATATACACCTGCATTCACACACAGGCCTAAATGCATGTTTTTATCTGAATTAAATAACCATCACACACAGCCAATAAACCCAGCACAAATATCACATACAACCAATACATGCATATCACGCACTGTTAATACACCCATTACAAATATCACACATAGCATACATATCACACACAGTCATAACATCTATCACATACACAGACAACACAAACATTACATCATACATGGATGACGGGGGGGTGGGGGCACATACACACTCAGATTCACACACTGACACATAACTCAGATACACACACACACACACTCAGATACACACACTGGCACATACACTCAGATACACACCCTGAAACACACATAGCTGTCCTTTCCTCTATGCCGGCTGATATCACAGGGGCTCGGTCGGCTCTTAAAGGGCTGACACCTGACCGGGCCCCTGATTAGTGGGTAATATGGGGATGTTAGAGGGCGCATATCATACACAATATAATGGACATCAGATTGTGTGTGTGTTTTCCGGGATATTGTGTATGACTTGCGGGAGTCAGGGAGCAGCAATCACCATGCAGGAGTCTCCCAGAACTACCGGGAGACTTGGGATGTCTGATAGGGGTGCACTGTTTGAATAGGGGGTATAGGGTGTGTGTGTGTGTATAGGGGATGTAGAATGTGGTGGGATATATGCTTATTAGCGTATCTATTATTATTCATTTAATTGTTATAAGAAAAAAAATAGTCGTTTCTTCTACCTGGTACTTTGTAGGTATGGGGACATTCCAATCCATGGTGGTCCAGTGGACTGAGTATCAATTGGTCTATGGCCTGTCCCTGCAGGCTTTTCAACACAAACACTGCCTTTTCAGATAAATAGCTACATTGCTGCCTAGTAACTCTGAGGGTTATCCTACAAGTGGGGAGATGAAACACCACTGTAAGCTGTTTTACCGGGAGCTGATAATAGCGCTGAAAAACAAGAGTTGGCAATTTTTAGTTCTATGTTGTCAATAGTCCATAGACTTACAATACTGCACTATCGGTTTCCTATTTTCTCTTTTGCATATGCCATTGATGTGTGATACCACTCCGGAGATATCTTATTCAACATTTGAAGACTTTTAAAACCTCAAAAGGACATTCTTTATTTTATAATTTTTTTATTTTTTTTGCTGTGCAGAGGTGTACAAACAGTCAAGTCATGCCACAACATCAGTTGACACAAACATCTTAATACATAGCTTACATGTGAGATGGCATTCAGAGAGAACGTGCACAATTTTTAGGATTATAATGATAGGCAAAGAAACAGGTGAGTTATAAAGTTATGAGTGTTGCAAGAGTGGTTAACTGACTCATGCTGGAGCTTAGCCAGAGTATAGACCCCAGAGGTCCCCATGTTAATAAAGTGGTGAAAGCATGGTAGGGAAATAAACTAATGACTAATGACGGATCAATTACAAGAAAGGATGCCCCTCTGGCACGAAGAACCCCCAACAGAGTGAGACAAAATGATAAGATAATTGATCTGCTCGGTCTCCAGTTCACCCGATACCCATCATGGGCAGAGCACAGTCCAGCACTTGGGGAGAGCACTGCAAGCCTTCAGGCCCGGATGGAATTCGGTGGGCCATAGCGTGCTCTTTGCTCGGGGTTTCTTGCACTACTTCCCTCTTCACGGGTGATCCGGCTGTGGTCCACTTCAATGCCCGTCTCTGCGTTGCTTTACGTGTAGATAAGCCTTGCTGTCGTTTCTGCAGCCACGCTTGGGCTTTCCACTTAGGGAGCTCCAGGTGAGAGCATGGGGTTGGCTGTGGGTGCAAGCGTTCACTTGTGTGTGGTGAATCCTGTCTGTGCATTCTGCTTTCCAGGCGCTGCCAGAAATCTTCAAACAACCTGTCAAGCTTGGAGCCAAGATCATGCAGTTCATCGCTTGGGCTATGGAAATATGCTGTCTCTGCCATGTTAGGCAGATCGCCAGTGTGGGATGCTTTTCCCTGTGCTTCTGCAGCATCCGGGTCACCCTCTGGTGGACCGGGATCTCCCCCACCGGTCCGGGGGGTTGGAGGGGGTAACGGTGCGCTCGTTTGGCTTCCAGATTGAGAGACCGGCTGCATCTCCCTCTCAGTGCACACTAGGCCACAACTGCTGTGGTGGGGAAATAAGCTCCGAACGGGCCATCAGACTGCCTCCTGGCTTGTCAGGTAGGTCAGGGAGCACACATGTCACCTCAGGTAGTTTTGGTTTGTGCCAGGAAGGCTTTAGTGAGCCGTTCATAGCAGGCTTATGGTGGAGTTCAGTCGAGGTACGTCCTTCCACCATGAAAGTCAGGCCCCGCCCCTCCCAAAATGACATTTTTATCTTTTACTTGGTACCTTTTTTTATTACTTACCACAATATTGTATTTAGGTTTTTTAATTAGTTACCACAATATTGTATTTATTTTGGCGCTACCTGTATCCTTTGTTCTGTTTGTTTAATAAAAATCTCTGTTCGTACTCTTACCTCTGATGCTCGCCTTAAATACTTCTCTGCGGCTGCACCGTTCCAATGGAACACCCTTCCCCTCTCTATTAGACTTTCACCCTGTCTCCACTCCTTCAAAAAATCTTTGAAAACTTACTTCTTCAGGAAAGCATATTAATTAAACCGTGAACAACTTTACCTCCTCGCACCCTGATTCCTCTCCTGCAACTGTCATCCAAACAAAACACTAAGCCCTCAATGAACACTATCCTAGCAACCTATTTTTCTACCCTACCCTTACCTTTTGTGTCACTATACCCTACTCCCTCTAGCATGTAATCTCATTGAGCAAAGACCTCAATCCGCCCATTGTACATCGCATAGGAATTTGTTGGTGATTTATAAATAATAATAATAATATAAATTATTAGAATTGGTCACAAGCTCTATTGTGATGATCATTTAAAGTATGGGGCATTGTATGTAATGTTGCAGGTTATTGGAATTTCATTATATAAAAATATATAGTATATCCACAGCAGTGAGAGAGTGCAATTCATTTTGGATTGTTACAGTATTTATGTATGGGTTATTTATATACAGGGCCTGCAGCATTCCATCTCATTAGCTTAGGCTATGTAGCAAATTGTATATAAAGTACATCACAATGTGTTTATTTATTTTTTTCTCTTTGCTCCAGCACTCCCCGTTTTGTATAACCTTAAAATCACTGCTTCGACCCTAATTTCCTTTTTCGACCCAAATTCCCCAATACCAGCAGAGCATTTAGCAAACTGTGAGTAATTGGGAGAATGGCTGCCTGTCCAGCGGCACGAAGTGGGTTAATGACACTAATCCGCAGGAAAGTCAGCGTTCCGTGTAAAGCGACGCTCACTCCTCTTGCATGCAGGGAGTTGTAGTTCCCGTCCAAATGTTAACGCTCCAACGAAAACGTCCTTGAAACTACAACTCCCGACGTGCCTCGCGAAGCCGGGCTTCCTGATTGGTTGTCTTCGCCAAGCTTGCAATTAAGTGTGGTTGCATCGCGCAAGGGCTGGCTGTAAGGTGAGGAGAATGGAGCTTTAATTATTTTAAATTTTTGGGATATAGGAGATGAGTTAGCCAATGGATATTCAGAGTGCTGGGTAGGATTTCATGTTTTAAGTATAAATTCCAGATAGCAGGCCAAAGCAATCAACCTATAATAAGATGCACGGTAAAAATGCCCCCTCCTCTTCCTCCCTGTCCTGTAATATGGAGCACTCTCCATGGTGTATACTAAATGTACCTGGAAAATGCCTTGAAACAAGGTGTGCACTTATTAGAGTCCAGTGTAAACTATAAGAAATATCCTTTGTTTTAAAACTCACTGTAAAACCTCCACTGAAGTTAAATGCATTGTAAACCCCACTTACATCATAAATAAACCATTGTAATATTTGGGATTTCTTGCTAAAAAGGCCCTTAATCCCCTCCCTTTGCATCAGTTGTATTACCTTAATAATGTATTTATTTACTGCACTCCATTGGGAAGGTGCAATGGAATATCCTGGGCAGTTTAGTAATTAATCTTACTGTGACTGAGTATTTTTTTCCCCCAAACTTTCTGCGAGTTTTGAAATTTCTTCCTTCTTATATTGTGTTTTTTTTAAAAGGAAACATTCTGTTGATATCCTACCTGTATGTAATGGGTGTGAACAAAACCTGAATAAATGAGGAAAAAGAAACTAAAAATACAATTTAGGTTATAATAACGTATGCATAACTTGCAGTTAAGTAAAAATATCACAACATAGATTAGTTTATTCATCTCAGTTTTGGGAATACTTTAATTCATTGTTTTTATTACTCCAATCTGCGCTTGAACAAGTAGGAATTTACAGTATATAATATAAACCTTATACTTTTCCAAAATGTGATGTGCCAGGACAGTAAGTTTAATCGTGGTGCCAAAGACCAAAAGAGCTACAGACACCCCGACCACTTCAGCTCATTGCAGTGGTCTGGGTGCAGTGTCCCTGTCCCCCTTAGTCCTGCCATGTAAAACATTGCAGTTTGTGAGAAACCACAATGTTTACATTGCAGCACTAAGACAGCCTCTAGTGGCTGTCTACCGGAAAGCTACTAGAGGTGCTTTTGGGATTTTACCGGACTCTAGGTCGCCTAACTGACATTGGACGTCCTCACAGTCTGCATGAGAACATACAGCATCAGTGAAATCCTCTCAGGAAAGCATTGAGTTAATGCTTTCCTATGGCAGCCTTTGACAAATCCCGGTCGCCATTGCGACTCGGAATCTTGCCCTGGTGCCTGTAACTGGTCAGCCCGTTCCCTCCCTTTTCCCGCAGGGGAACTGCAAGCTTGAAGGGCAGCATTTAAAGACTGCCAGCTTGCCTTCCGCATTCCTCCGAGCCAACCCACATTGTGCAAAGCTGGTCCGGCCGCTGTCCTCAGAGCCGGCCCGGCCGCTGTCCTCATCCAGCACCTTTACGCAGAGCTGGCTGCTCTCCCTTTCCCCTGCATGCCGGGAGGAAGTAATTACAGTTCCCTTCATTTCCTCCTGGCGCACAGAGATCTGCACGAGGCTGAAGAGACAGGAGGAGGTGGAGTCTGGAACAGCGCGAGCAGCTGCTCCCGTCAGCCGCAGCCAGCCCCCCACTAACCTATTGCCATTTGCTCCTGCCCAGTCCCACTGGATCCCAGTGAAGCCACCCCCCTGAGCCCAAAAGGTAGGAAACAGGAGAGTGGTTAAAAATATGTATTTTTTATTTTTATTTGTGTGTGTGTGTATATCTGTTATGCATGTTTGTGTGTATCCATTTGAGTGTATCAAATAATACTTTGTGACTGTGTGGGGTGAGGAAGACCACTACATTGTTTCCTACCTTTTGGGCTCAGGGGGGTGGCTTCACTGGGATCCAGTGGGACTGGGCAGGAGCAAATGGCAATAGGTGTGTCTGTCAGTGTGTGTGTGTTGTGTCTAGGTGGGTGTGTCTGTCTGGGTGGGTGTGCTTTTAAGTCACCAGCCCCCTCTGATCGCATGGGAATTGTATTGTTACTCACCTTTTTTCCAATGGTATGCTGGTCTCGCTGCAGCTGGCCAGCCTCCATAGCTAAGATTATCAATCTCCTCATAGAGATGTAATAAATAAATGCAGAGCGTGAAGACGCTGAATGTAAGTAGGAGACACTTTAGTGGCCATTTGAGTGATGGCCACTAGAGGTGTTACTAGGCAGCAATGTAAACACTGGCTTTTCTCTGAAAAGGCAGCATTTACTTTGAAACGCCTGCAGGGACAATCTATAGACTTCAGACCACTACATTAAGCTGTACTAGTTCTGGCAAGTATAGTGTCCCTTTAAGAATTGTAAATGCTTTCCTATGAGACCGTCTGAATGCGCGCGCAGCCAGCCCAAAAGGGAGGAGAGGAGGAGGATCGGAGGCGGAGAGCTCCCCGCTCGGCGCTGGAGAAAGGTAAGTTTTAACCCCTTTCCTCTCCCCAGAGCCCGGCGGGAGGGGGACCCTGAGGGTGGGGGCACCCTCAGGGCACTATAGTGCCACAAAAACGAGTATGTTTTCCTGACTCTATAGTGGTCCTTTAATGAACCAATTTCAGTGATATTACGTAGAATGAATGCTTAATGTATGGGGATTTGTTTGATTGGGTACTAAAGATGACATATTTTTAAGTGAATTAAATCATAACATTAGTTAATGTGTGAGGCTGTAGCGCACATTTCTGCATGGGTGTTCTCCTTGAGGTGCTCAAGTGTATGCGGTTTGTTCACATACACCCACTCCTTCAAATTTCCCCATAGGAAGTTATCGAGAGCTGAAAGTTTGGGTGAATTCATCTGGGAATTCCTGACTTTATCCACTCGCCAAACAGTTGTCTCATACATATTTGGATGGCATTATTTGGCTGAGCATGTCAGCCTGGGACCAGACTGCAGGTGCCTTGTGGAATCCGAAGATTTGACCCAGAACCATAGGACAACACCTGTAGCCTATTAGCAGCATAATCTATACATTGGCACGTAGTCAGGGCCGGCCTTAGGCATTCAGATGCCCTGTGCGAAACATCTTTGCAGCGCCCCCCCCCCCCCCTATAATCCATGTATAGTGTGGGTGTATAGAAGTGTAGTGATTGTATAGGGAATTTATTAAATTAATAATGATTTAAAAATAAATATTCATTACACACACACACATTTACAGGCAGATAATTAAAAACACACACAGGTACAGATGGACAGTCACGTACATACAGCCACATATACAGTGTCACACATACACTGTTTCATGCAGACAGCCACACACACACAGAGGCAGACAGACACACACACACACACACACATAGGCAGACAGACACACACAAAGGCAGACAATCACACATAGTTACCTGTATTCATTATGGGAAATAGTGCAGCTCCTGAATTCTGGTTGTTGGGGAAGCAGGAACTCTTTCCTGCTTCCCATGCAGTAATTACCCGGTACTTCTAGCCCCGCCCCCACTACACGCTAAGCCCCGCCGCTTTTTTCTTTTTAATCCCTGGTGGAGAATAATGAAATCCTCCACCCGGGTAACCAGCAATATGCGAGCTGTGTCGGCCACATGGCCCCTTCTGCTCCATGGCGCCCTGTGCGGCCGCACAGCTCGCATACCCCTAAGGCCGGCCCTGCATGTAGTGATTATGGTGATTAGACTGCCAATTTTAAGAAACATTGTATACATTTTGGAGCAGGCACTTCTGATTGTTGTCTTTGTTTCAAGGCTAAAAATTCAAAGTCCTATGCTACTAAACAGGCTTAAAAGTTACTCGTCACTTTAAACCTGGGGGTCCATAGCACACTCATCAGGGGTGAATTTTTACTCGCCAGGTTTGACGTTTCGCTCAACAAAAAGGCTAGTTGGAGAGTGGAAATTGTGAGCCCTGTTCGTTCTATTCAGCAATAGTGGTTTGCAAATGCATGCTGCTATGCTCAACTCCACTGCACATTATCACAGGAGAGAAAGAGGTTTCCCTGTGACCAGGGCTCGAGTCCTGCAGGAACGCGTGGGAACAGCGTTCCTGCACTTTTTTTTGAGCAGGAACGCTGTTCCCGTTTGTGGTCCTGCAGGCACTCAGGGGGCGCCCCCAAAAGCCCCCCATGCTCCCCCTGTCATGGGGTCCCAAGAGGTGGCCTGATGGCCATCTGATGGACCCCCCCGGCGGGCTGCTCTCTCCCTGTCACACCCGGCGAGGGAGCTGTGTCCTCATTCTGCCTCTCGCCGCGCGCCATTTGCTGATGCTGGGAGCCGGAATATGACATCATATTCCGGCTCCCAGCATCAGCAGATAGCCCGCGCGACGAGAGGCAGCAGAGAGGACACAGCTCCCTCGCCGCGTGTGATATGGAGACAGCTGCCCGCCCCACTGGACCCCAGGGACAGGTCCACGCCAGCTCTCCAGGTACGGAGGCTGGGTGGACTTTTGTAAAAAATAAATAAAAAATATATGAATAATTTGTGTGCATGTGTGTGTGTCTGTGAGAGTGTATGTGTGTGTGTGTCTGTGAGAGTGTATGTGTGTGTCTGTGAGAGTGTATGCGTGTGTCTGTGAGTGTGTGTTTAAATATGCATATGAGTGCAATTTTTTTTTGAGGGGGGGATGATGGTGGAACTTTGGGTGAGTTCCCACACTTTATTCCCTTAGGACTTGACCCCTGCCTGTGACCTTCCAAGGCTTTGTAAGTAGAAGGCACGGTGCTTGCTGAGTAGTTATATTCATTCTTTTTTTCATCTGAGCTGTGGATACCAAAATCCCTTGCTAGCTTGGATAAGTATAGAACACAGCTGAAAACCATCAGTTTATCTGTGGAAATTCAGTGATCTCTGCAAATTGTATATTTTAAAGTGACATTCATGTTAGCATGCTTATTCTTTGTCTCGTATTTTCCTTCTCTTCATCACTCCGAACTTCACAACTCTCCTCCCTTTGTTTCTTTATTCTTTGTCTGTATCTCCCATCTTTTATATTTACGTAAAGGTACACTGTAGTCACCAGAACAACTCAGCTTCTTGTATTTGTTCTTATGAGTATAATCATTCTCTTGCTGTAAACACTGTCTTTTTCAGAAAAAATGCAGTGTTTACATTACAGCCTGTATCCCTGGCCACTAATCAGATGGCTACTAGAGGTACTTCCTGGGGCAATGCTGCACAGTGAGCACCACTGTCATTGGGTGTCTTCACGCTCTGCATGCAGACACTGAACTCTCCTCATAGAAATGCATTGATTCAATGTATCTCTATGAGGTGATGCTGATTGGCCAGGGCTCTGTTTGGCTTTTGCTGGCTCTACCCATGATCTGCCCGCTTGACAGTCTTAGCCAAACACTTTTGATGATGTCAGCCAAGCAGGCAGATCAGGGGCAGAGGCAGAATGCAATAAAAGTAAGATTTTGCTATATTTAAGGTGGTAAGGGGGCTCCAGGGGAGGTTGATGGTGGCTTTAACACTATAGAGTCAGGAATACATGTTTGTGTTCCTGACTTTATAGTGTTCCTTTAATATATTCCCACTCGCTTTCTATCACTTATCTTTTTTTTTTCATGTTCATATTTAGCAGATGGACATGAGACCCCATGTAATCTGTGCCATGTTTTGGTCTGGGCAGCTGCCACTTTTGTACTGAGTTAAAGATGGCCTTGATACAATTTTAACCCCTTAAGGACGGCGGGCGTGCTATGCTGTCCTTGGGGTCCCGGCTCTAAACACCAGGGGGCGGCATAGCACGTCCCCGCCGTACTGTTTACTTATAGCGGTGTAGGGACTCACCTGGCAGCCCAGGGAGTCCCCCTCCGTCTGTTTTGGCCCCCCTGGGCCATGTGATCACGATTTCCTTGCAAGGACCTCACAATCACATGGACTGCATAACCCTCCAAGGCAGTGCCAGCAGGGGGAGTGCCTGTAAAATAATTAAATGTTAAAACAGTTGAAAATTAAATTATATATACTTAGACTTAGACTTTATTATATATATATGATCTATGTGTGTGTGTATGTATGTGTATACACATATACACATACACATATATATATATATATATATACATATAATCATTATATATATTTATATATAATATAAAATAAATATGTAAATACGTTAAAAAATTTAAATAAATATATGTGTGTAATTTTGTACTAACTGTATTTTAAAATTAATATGTATATATATCTCTATCAAAATGCACGTAGAACGAAATTATATATATATATATATATATATATACATATATAAGTATATACGTTTATATCACTATAAATATATACTTATATAAAAATAATTTTTAAAAATATATATAATAATTCTACGTATATATTTATGTAATAATATTACATAATCAGGTCACTTTATTAATTACAATTTGTGGGACCTGCCTGACAACCCAGGGCAAAAGACCAGGGAATTTAATTTGCTAGCACTATATTTAACCCTGTAACTTTCCAAGACACCATAAAACCTGTACATGCGGGGTTCTCTTTTACTCAGAAGACTTTGCTGAACACAAATATTAGTGTTTCAAAACTGTAAAATGTATTACAACGATGATATCGTCAGTGAAAGTGAAATTTTTTGCATTTTTTACACACAAATGGCACTTACACGGACAATATAATTGTTGTGATATGTTTTACTGTTTTGAAACACTAATATTTGTGTTAAGCGCAGTCTCCTGAGTATAACAGTACCCCTTATGTGTACAGGTTTTATGGTGTTTTCAAAAGTTACAGAGTCAAATATAAGGCTTGCGTTTCAGTTTTTTCACATTGAAATTCGAAAGATTGTTTACGTTGCCTTTGAGACCGTATGGTAGCCCAGGAATGAAAATTACCCCCAGGATGGCATACCATTTGCAATAGTAGACAACCCAAGGTACTGCAAATGGGGTATGTCCAGTCTTTTTTAGTAGCCACTTAGTCACAAACACTGACCAAAATTCTCATTCCCGGGCTACCATACACTCTCAAAGACAACGTAACCAATCTGGCGAATTTCAATGTGAAAAAAAATGAAATGTAACATGCTATAATTGACTCTGTAACTTCTTAAAACACCATAAAACCTGTACACGGGAGGTACCGTTTTACACGTGAGACATCGCTGAATACAAATATGTGTATTTTATTGCAGTAAAAACAAACTGTATTATGACATTCACAGTTAGAATGTCACATAGAACTAAAATGTTTTTTAAAAATTCTTATTTTCTACCATTTTTAAAAAATATTTTATTGATATTAAATTATGTTTCATGCCTAAATATTTTATGTTAAATGAAAGCCCTGTTTCCCCTGAATAAAATGATATATAATAAGTGTGGGTGCACATAATATAAAAGAGGCGAATTACGCCTGAACAGACATATAGCGCAAATTCAAGTTTTTGTTTTTGTTTTGATCACAACGTGTACATTTGGCTCAATCCGTACGGGGTTAATAGTGATAGATTTGTGCATAATTGATTGTTGTTGATATCTTTTCTAAAACTCTTTAATAAAGGGGTACTTAAAAATTTCACAATTTATTACAGCACAGCAAGAGTTTCAAATGTATGAAATATGTTCGCAAGTTTTAATTTCACTCAAAAGATACCAAGCCTATTCATTGCCTTGTTTCAGTAACATTTTACATGTATACAATCCCATGACACCTGTAAAGATGATAACTAGCACTTATTTTTGGGTTTGATGGGAATTTATCCAGTTTAGCTCTCTTAAGGGATTAGTCCTGCTTTTGACAAACCTGTTATTTTGAGCTTAAACTAGATATTTAAATGTTGCCGCCCACATAATGAATGTACCACTAGTGGAAAAAAATTGAGAGTCCTTTTAGAAGTAACAATAGGACAAAAGCTGAGGTGTGGGAACGTCCCAGCCTTAACTGTCATTAAACAGAAATAAAGAACATTTTGTGGCTGTAGTACATTACACAAATATACATTTACACTGGCACCCATTCATTTCATCCTCCCTTTGCTTACATTGGTAGTAAAGTTGCACCGCAACTCAGTGGAAGCCTGTGTGCACCTTACTGTAGATGGGATAGACACTATTTGGTATGCAGGGGGTAGAGGCTGTAGTAAATTCAAGGGAGGGTTATGTGCTATAATGGGTGCAGGGAAAGTATAGGGGCTGCAGGGCCGGCCTTAGGGGTGTGCGAGCTGTGCAGCTCGCACATTGCCGGCTACCCGGGTGGAGGATTTCATTATTCTCCACCAGGGATTAGAAAGAAAAAAAGCGGCGGGGCTTAGCGTGCGGTGGGGGCGGGGCTAGAAGTACCGGGTAATTACTGCATGGGAAGCAGGAAGGAGTCCCTGCTTCCCCAACAACCAGAATCCAGGAGCTGCATTACTTCCACCTCCATAATGAATAGAGGTAACTATGTGTGACTGTCTGCCTTTGTGTGTGTGTGTGTGACTGCCTTTGTGTGTGTATGTGGCTCTCTGCCTCTGTGTGTGTGTGTGTGGCTGTCTGCATGTAACGGTGTATGAGTGACACTGTATATGTGGCTGTATGTATGTGACTGTCCATCTGTACCTGTGTGTTTTTGTAATTATCTGCAAATGTGTGTGTGTGTGTATGACTGTCTGCCTGTAACTCTGTGTGTGTATGTGTGTGTAATGAATATTTATTTTTAAATCATTATTAATTTAATAAATCCACTATACAATCACTACACTTCTATACACACACACTATACATGGATTATAGGTGAGGGGGGCGCTGCGAATATGTTTCTCACAGGGCGCCTGAATGCCTAAGGCCGGCCCTGGGTGCAGGTGAGTGATAGGGGCTGTAGAGGTGCATATGAGATAGGGGTTGTAGTGAGTGTAGTAATTATAGTGGCTGTAGTTGATGCAGGGAGTAATAGGGGCTATAGTGTGTGCAGAGGGATAGGGTCTTTAGTGGGAGCTGGTGGAATTAGGGGCTGTAGTGAGTGCAGGGTGTAATAGAAGATTTAGTGGGTGCTGGTGCTGTAGTAAGTGTAAGGAAATAAAGGGTGTAATAAGGGCTGTGATCTGGGATAAGGGCTGTGATAAGGAGTACAGGGGGTAAGAGCTGTGATTGAGGATGGAGCAGTAGTGGGTGGATAGGAGCAATATAGATATCTGCTTGTCTGCAGCCCTGGTGGGTGTAGACCGCTCCATCCAGTCTACACTGGAGAATGTCAAATGGAAGAAAAGAAATATCCAGGCACACCTGAGGTTTCTTCTAAAAGGCAGTTTTTTGGTTTTTGTTTTTTTTAAACAAGAAAGTGGAAAGTCTCCACTTGTTTCAAATAAAAAGACTGACTTTTGCTACAATATATGATGCACTCAATAGCCTTTTGATCTTAAATGGAGCCAGTCCTTATCATGAGTTAGGATCTTTTCTCTCAATTTACATTTGTAAAATACCACAGAATTAGAATTAATTTTCAACTAGATTCATTGTATTTCTTATTCATCTTTTGCAGTTGGTTTGGAGTCATTTAAAACATGGAGATGCCATCATACTATACAAAACTCCTGGGAGAGTTGAATGAGCAGCGGAAGAGAGATTTCTTCTGTGACTGTAGTATCATTGTGGAAGGAAGAATTTTCAAGGCACACAGGAATGTATTATTTGCAAACAGCGGCTACTTTCGAGCCATGCTTGTCCACTATATCCAGGACAGTGGAAGACATAGTACAGCTTCTCTAGATATTGTTACCTCTGAGGCATTCTCCACCATACTGGACTTTCTTTACTCTGGAAAACTGAACCTGTGTGGAGAGAATGTGATCGAGGTTATGAGTGCAGCTAGTTACTTGCAAATGACTGATGTGGTCAACTTTTGCAAGGCCTATATTCGCTCCTCGCTGGACATCTGCAGAAAGATTGAGCGAGAAAGTTCATTTGGACAAGCAGACAGTGGGAGTGATGGCTTAGGAAGTGCAAGAGGAGCAGCTCTTAGGGCCTTGCAAGAGAAAGGAGGTGTTGGAGACTGTCAGAAAGAGCCACCATGTGGAGATTGTAGTAGCTGCAACTCTGTAGAGGTTTTGGATAAGGATAACCCCAGTGTTGGGTCTCCCGAGGAAAAGAGCTCTGGTAAAGCAGTGGAACCCAAGGAAGAATTTGATTCTGATGTGGTAGAAGTGACTGAGGGGCTTCAGCCATACCCAATGCCGCCTGGAATGGAGCAGGGAGATGAAAGTTTGCATGGAGGTGCAGGGATGGATCTCTCTCATAATTATCATATGAAGCAATTTTTAGAGGCTCTCCTGCGTAATAGTTCTAACCAGAGGAAGGACGATCAAGTTCACCATTTCCCACGTGACTTTGAATCCCGTCAAGAGGATGCAGGTGTCCCCATGAGTTCTATGATGGACATTCAGGGTGACTGGTATGGAGAGGACACAGGTTAATATCTTTCATCAAAACAGCATTGACAATAATATAAATCCGTGTAAATAAAAAATGTAAAATAAATTGGTGTAAATATAGACTTTTAGTAAAATTTCTCAATGTTGTTTAATTTTACTTAAAAATGTTAAATATCTATTTGCAGAAAAGAGATAAGCTTTTAAACGTTTTGCTTAATGTTACCTGTTCCATTCTGGTTTATTGAAAAGTCTGAATAGTTAAAATTTGTAAACTTACTTTGAAAATGAATAAGTAAAAAAATGAATACGTTTAATTTAGTTAGATTCCTTATCACCAACTGTGTGCTAAATACCATGTTTCCTTTAGGGGATGTTCTAGTGGTTCCCATCAAGCTGCACAAGTGTCCGTTTTGTCCCTACACTGCAAAACAAAAGGGCATTTTGAAGCGTCACATCCGTTCACACACAGGAGAGAGGCCTTACCCGTGTGAGATTTGTGGCAAGAGGTTTACTCGTCAAGAGCATTTGCGCAGCCATGCACTCACTGTAAGTATGCAATCTTCTGATTTTAAATCCGTGATACTTCTTTTTTTAAATAACTCTTTATTTAACACTGTTAGGACGGACATTAAGCCACAATTATCAGGGGGAAGAAGCACACAGAATCACATGTAAGTCAGTAGATAGATGTACATACAGTTGCAAGAAAAAGTATGTGAACCCTTTGGAATGATATGGATTTCTGCACAAATTGGTCATAAAATGTGATCTGATCATCATCTAAGTCACAACAATAGACAATGTGAATGTTTACATGATGTGTTCAATAAAAACATGCAACATTTCATTCTTTGTGTGTTATTAGTTTAAGCAGACTGTGATTGTCTATTGTTGTGACTTAGATGATGATCAGATCACATTTTATGAACAATTTGTGCAGAAATCCATATCATTCCAAAGGGTTCACATACTTTTTCTTGCAACTGTATGCTTGTTCAATTTTACAACAGTAACATTAAAAAAAGAGAGAGAAACTTGAAAAAAATGGGTGTTGATAGGGAAGTGAATTTGTAAGATTCACAAGATTAAGAGCATTGGAACAGCTTTGTTCACCAAACTGCTTTCCCAGAGTAATTTTAGAGATGAGCTTGTATTCCCATACAATAAGGTCGTCCAGGTATCTGTAGGAATTGGCTTGTAAAAAATCTAAGAGAAAAAGGTCAACCCTTTTAGGGCCATGAAGGTGTGATTTCAGAACATTACAACCACAAATGATAGCAGGACCCATGGTCATATACACTCAACTTTACTTTAGCAAGTCAATGGAAGCAAAACAATGGATTTGCAAGAATCTAAATGGATCACCTGGTATCAGGAGTTTTCTAGAGGATATGGAGTTATAGAAGACAATATCGAAGGTACGGTTTTGCAGCATAAATGAGCTAAAGGCATGCTAAATAACTGTAATAAGATAAATTCTGATATAAAAATATACAGAAAAAAAGAGGGAAAAAGACCTTTATATAGAAAGCTCTAAAACTGGAAACATATAGGAATACACCAAAAACCTATAGAAACAATATACATAAAATGTGTTGTACTATAAAGATAGCAGCAAATATCCATGAGCTAACTAATAAAAAAAATAAAAAAAATAAAAAATAAGTATGTAGCAGAAATGGGACTTGGTCTCAGATAACACACTGATGTATTCAGATATAGATGTGCAATGTCAAAAATGATTCCAGGGATATCTGTATGGCATGGATATCCTTAAGCCAGGAAAAAAGAATATCCCCGGGCAAATATAACCTTATGCCAAATTTTATACTTCGAAAAATGAAAGATATAATAACCAGATGGCATAAAAATACTTAAATTACACTGACTACTGTCCTGTAAGTCAGATATTAATGATAACCAAGCAAAACCAGTACCAAGAGCTGGTTGCTATAAGCAATATGAAAAATATTGCTAAAAAACAACTGAGAATATAAAAGTCAAATTTATTTCAGAATTGTAAAATAAAGTTAAAAATAAGTCCACAGTAAAAATACCAGTCCATTAAAGGTAAAAAATACACAACAACCTTATGTCCAGGCACGGATGTATATGGATGTTCTTCACAATTCAATATCCAAATTCTGATCGCCGGTGAGGACGGCTTGCGTACCACAGTGCATTCCACCTCGAGCCTCACTTCGGGGGAACTGCGCTGTGTGGACGTTCTGTCTACTGTCTGACGCGTTTCGTAGGGAATAGCCCTACTTCCTCAGAGACGTATGTGTTAACCTCCATATGGGACTGCTTATATATCCCTCAGTTGTTAATTAATTAAAGTCCATACAGAATAAATTACATTACATTGTATAAAAAAATGTTAAACACCAGAAAGTAAATGCAGAGAATTGATTAATACAGATTAATACAGTACAATTTAATATAATAGAAACTTTTAAAAAAATGGATACAATAAAAGTTAATAAAAAGCTTTACTATAATAAAATACTTTTATAAAATACCCATCACTTCTCTTAATTTCAGTAGGACTGCTGTTCTTTCATACACAGACAGTTATGCACCTAAAATAATAGCTTTTCTCCTAACAACCATCATATCAAATTATAAACCGTTCGAGATTGATGGTTAGACATTGCATCAATGTTGCATCTTAACTTTGCACGAGCTGTTAACAATACGATGTAACAATTTATATACATATTATCTCCTCAGGCTTAATTCACCACCTTATAAACCTCAAATATTATGATAAAATGCAAGTAGTACTACTTTCCAGATAATTAGTATTAGAATAGATAGGATGCAAGAGGTGAGAGATACACTAGCTGTGTTCCATTTTCTGTAACGAGACAAGAATGTTAGTAAATAATACAACACATTAGAACATAATAAAAAAACACTTAATTCCTTCAGCATCTGTATGTTGAATTTAAACAACGGTACAGGTCTTGTGCATAATGACCAGCAATTCCCTTATCTGTATTCATAAAAAATATCTGTAATGTAAACAAAGTGATTTATACGAATAAAACAACTCCATATGCTAACAAGCACCAAATTTATATCGTCTAACGATTTAAAAGAACATAAGATTAGGACAAATATGAATTGCAATACTTTAGGAGTGATATATCTTATCACATGCCCATGCCAGAAACAATATGTTGGACGGACTAAAAGATCTTTGAAAACTAGGATTGCAGAACACATTAGAAACATTAAAAAAGGCTTATTGACTCATAATCTATCGAAACATTTCAAAGAGACACATAGAGCAGATCCAGCAGGACTGACTTTTGTAGCTATAGAAAAAGTGAATGTGCATTGGAGAGGAAGAAGTATAGATACTAAACTCGATCAATCTGAGGCAAAATGGATATTTTCACTTAATACCATAGTCCCCCATGGCCTCAATGTAGATTTCCAGTTAAATGCATTTTTATAGCACTTCTTTTAGTTGAATCTTCTTTTGTCCTTACAGTTGTAGTTCTTTTCTTGATTATATAGAATTTTATGGTGTTTTTAAGTATATAGGTGTATTTGTCTGTTACTAATATTCTTATCCTGGTATGGATTCTTATCGTCATATAGGTGTTATCAAGTGGAATTTGTTCTTAACTACTTCCCATATCTTAGTATGTATTTCATTATATATATATATATATTTATATATATATATATAATGAAATACATACTAAGATATATATATTTATTTATTTACTTTAAGCATATGGAGTTGTTTTATTCATATAAATCACTTGGTTTACATTACAGATATTTTTTTATGAATACAGATAAGGGAATTGCTGGTCATTATGAACAAGACCTGTACCATTGTTTAAATTCCACATACAGATGCTGAAGGAATTAAGTGCTTTTTTATTATGTTCTAATGTGTTGTATTATTTACTAACATTCTTGTCTCGTTACAGAAAATGGAACACAGCTAGTGTATCTCTCACCTCTTGCATCTTATCTATTCTAATACTAATTATCTAGAAAGTAGTACTACTTGCAAACATTTTATCATAATATTTGAGGTTTATAAGGTGGTGAATTAAGCCTGAGGAGATAATATGTATATAAATTGTTACATCGTATTGTTAACAGCTCGTGCAAAGTTAAGATGCAACATTGATGCAATGTCTAACCATCAATCTCGAACGGTTTATAATTTGATATGATGGTTGTAAGGAGAAAAGCTATTATTTTAGGTGCATAACTGTCTGTGTATGAAAGAACAGCAGTCCTACTGAAATTAAGAGAAGTGATGGGTATTTTATAAAAGTATTTTATTATAGTAAAGCTTTTTATTAACTTTTATTGTATCCATTTTTAAAAAAGTTTCTATTATATTAAATTGTACTGTATTAATCTGTATTAATCAATTCTCTGCATTTACTTTCTGGTGTTTAACATTTTTTATACAATGTAATGTAATTTATTCTGTATGGACTTTAATTAATTAACAACTGAGGGATATATAAGCAGTCCCATATGGAGGTTAACACATACGTCTCTGAGGAAGTAGGGCTATTCCCTACGAAAAGTGTCAGACAGTAGACAGAACGTCCACACAGCGACAGCCAGCCAAGGTATTATCACAAGAGCCTAGATATCTTCTCGAATACCAGGCACCCCACTAATATCATCCGACGAGCAGCGCAGTTCCCCCGAAGTGAGGCTTGAGGTGGAACGCACTGTGGTACGCAAGCCGTCCTCACCGGCGATCAGAATTTGGATATTGAATTGTGAAGAACATCCATATACATCCGTGCCTGGACATAAGGTTGTTGTGTATTTTTTACCTTTAATGGACTGGTATTTTTACTGTGGACTTATTTTTAACTTTATTTTACAATTCTGAAATAAATTTGACTTTTATATTCTCAGTTGTTTTTTAGCGATATTTTTCATATTGCATATAGCAACCAGCTCTTAGTATTGGTGTTGCTTGGTTATCATTAATATCTGACTTACAGGACAGTAGTCAGTGTAATTTAAGTATTTTTATGCCATCTGGTTATTATATCTTTCATTTTTCATTTTTGATGGAAGTATAAAATTTGGCATAAGGTTATATTTGCCCGGGGATATTCTTTTTTCCTGGGTTAAGGATATCCATGCCATACAGATATCCCTGGAATCATTTTTGACATTGCACATCTATATCTGAATACATAAGTGTGTTATCTGAGACCAAGTCCCATTTCTGCTACATACTTATTTTTTTATTTATTTTATTAGTTAGTTCCTGGATATTTGCTTCTATCTTTATAGTGCAACACATTCAATGCTAAATAACTGTGTTGAAGCTCCTTATTCCTTCTGTGAGTTTAATTGAACATCTCACTACTTTCAGATGTTGCTCTTGGTGGAATGCAAGTAATTATTTCTATTGGGCCAAATCTGTAGTTCATGTGGGTATTGGAAATTACAGAGCAATTCTAGCAAAGCCTGACGTGTACTTTGCTTCTCACTGGATAATTCACCAAAACCTGAAATTAATCTCAAATTATAGGCTGCAATTGCTGAATAGTCTCCTAAGACACTACTGTTTTCAGCTTGTCTATTTTGGCCTATAATTTTACATTTACTTAGAAATTGGCACAATTCACATGTGAATTACCACAACCGTGTCCTTCTTTTTCTAGGTACACCGGTCCAACCGCCCAATTATCTGCAAAGGTTGCCGTCGAACGTTCACCAGCAGTCTGTCTCCTGGTTTGAGGCGTTTTGGCTTGTGTGACAGCTGCACCTGTGTCACTACGACACACGAGGAATCTCATAGCAGAGGTCACCCTGAACCTGCTTCTGAAAGCATGGACAAAGATGAGGTGGATGGTGACTGGCCTATCTACATTGAGTCTGGAGACGAGAATGAGGCAGCTGAGGAAGAGACAGAGGATAAAGAACAAATACACAGAGAGGTGCTCATGTGACCTTCAAAGTGAAAGACATTCCATCATTTTCCTATGCCAGGCCATTTAAGTAGCATTGTGCTAGAAGGAAAACCTCCGTCCCATGATTTCCAATGTTGTGGTTCTGGAAACTCTGCAGTTTACACGCCTTATTGGTTGTGCAGTGCAATGCCATTTGGCAGTGATCAGCTAATATTTATCCATATCCTATTTTATATTTTAGTGCTGTGCACTAACTACCAGTAAACCTTTCAAGAGAAGCCAGTGTCTCGAATGCATTGTCTGCCTGTATAGAAGAATTCATATTTCATTGGTCAAGTGAGGAAGAACAACTATTGTCCTTTGTTATGTAATTCAAGACTCAAGAACAATTTGGAGCTGGGTTTCCAGAAACCAGACTTGTATTCCATCTAATCAGTTATTGTTGTTTGTAGTGTGATCTACAATTCAGCATTATGTGACAAAATAAGCGATACACATTTCCCTTTTATTGTCAATTCTCCATAGAGCATTTTTAAATGTATAGAATACTCATGTACTGTAATAGTGACTGACTTACAAATCCTTTAGATGATATCAAAAACCTCTCGTAGGATATCACCAACATATTTGTTCATCATGAAATTAAGAAAAATATCTATATACATACATAAATGCACATGGTGATAACCTACCATATCATGTCTCTATAGAAGTGAACATTGTAAGCAAGGTTATCCTTAAAGAAAGAGAAAATGGGACATAAAAATACCTTGTTGTAAATATGGTAGTGCAAAACTACAAATACCTATTTTCTGCTGGACAAAATAGAAATACCGCATTTAATGCAATCTTCCACTTTTAATTCTAAAGTCTATCCAAGGCACTCTGCATTATGGGAAACAAGCCCATTGGTTGCCAACATGTGATAAGAAGGTTTAGTTGATGTGCCCTGTTGCCTTTGCATCCTTACATTTTACTTTACATTAAGCTATTTGAAAAAGACTATAAGCTGATCCGAATATAAAATATCTTTTACATAGGTACCATTAAAATTCCAACTGGAAAACAGTGGTGCCAGTAGCACTCTTTTTACAGGAAGTGATATAGTGGGAAATATTTCCAATATGATCTTTGCCCTGTCTCTTTTTAAAAAAAAAATTGACCTGTGTTTGAGCTGTTTATGCATCATGTTCTTGAACTACATGAGGTGGAACCATGTCAATCCTCTAATATGAAATACTGACATGGTTTAGAATTATATACTTTTTGAAGCAAGGGATCAATTTCCTTTTTTTTTTTTTTTTTTTTTTGGTTTGGTATGTAAAATAACATACCTGGTAAGTTCTTGAGTAATACATGCCATGGTGCTATGCTGTGGGGTATATAAGCTTATTTTAACTATATTTAAAGCAAAATCCCTATTTTCATTAGTGACTTGGTTAAAGGACCACTATAGTCACCCAGACCTATTCAGCTCAATGAAGTGGTCTGGGTGCCAGGTCCCTCTAGTTTTAACTCTGCAGCTGAAAACATAGCTGTTTCAGAGAAGTTCACTCGGAAGCTGATGTTGATGGAGGAGAAAAGGTCACAGGTGCCGAGGGAGCTCGGCGCTGAATTAAGGTAAGCAAATAAATGGTTAATTAACCATTTACTTGCCGCGGAACAGGGCCCTAGTCACCTAAACAGTGACTAGGCTCTGTAGCGTTAGGAATACATATTTGTATTCCTAACACTATAGTGTTCCTTTAACTTCCACTTTGATGCTATATTTTTCTTTCATCCTCCAATTTATTCAACTCCTGGAATATTTTCTTTTTCCATTTAAGTGTATTTCAGAATAATTTTATAACAATCTATTTGCAATTTGAAAGTCACTTGTATGCTCCTATGTGTATGTTTGTTGTGTGCTCGATATTAGTGTTCCGAGCCAGGGAATTATATGAAACATATTAAATGTGCATAAGGTGTTATGTAGCGGAGTGTATTTTTTATTGGTATTGACACTACATTGCATGTTAAGATGACTCTACAATTTTAATTAAAGAGAATGGAGTTAATCTTCATCAGCTGGACCAACTGTTACTGAATCTAATTCTTGAGTATTTGACACATTTAATTCTTTCATTCATGCATATCAGTTGTCTTCTACTAGTGTTTAGTTTTCATGTGGCTGCATTGTGTACAATTTCCATAATTAACTAATTTCTTCCTTTTTGTGCATGCTGGCATTGATGGCTATAACTTCTGTATGGTAGCATTTTGATATATCTATTCCTTCAGAGGAACTGCCACTTCTCTTACAATGACTTCCTTAATTCTTCAACTCAATAACCTGTATTGAAGCATTAAATGGGGTGTGGAGTACAGTGGAAGTAAAACAATCTTCCCTGCACTTCTGGCCATGAGTAACTTCATCACTTGTGCATAAGGACATTCCTTCTATAATGCAATACAAGTGCATATGCCCTTACCGTGCTCACTTCTGACACTATGGGTAGTTAGTAAAATTTGCATCATACACTGATCAGTAACAACATTAAAATCACCTGGCAGGTGAAGTGAATAACATTGATTATATCGTTTTAATGGCACCTGCCAAAGGGGTGGGATATATTAGGGAAGCAAGTGACCAGTCAGCGCTTGAATTTCTTGTGAAGCAGGAACAATGGGAAAGCGAAAAGATTTGAATGACTTTGACAAAAGCCAAATAGTTATGGCTAGACGACTGGGTCAGAGCATTTCCAAAATAGCAAGTCTTGTGGGTTGGCAGTGGTTAGTACCTACCTAAAGTGGAGCAAGGAAGGACATCTTGTGAACCAGCATCAGGTTCATGGGCACCCAAGGCTTTTTGATTCAGGTTGGGAGCCAATGTCTTTATGCCAGGTACCACAGGAAACATTCAGAGGTCTTGTGGAATCAATGCCTTAATGCATCAGAGCTGTTTTGGCAGCACGAGGGGGGGACACCTACCTGATATTAGGCAGGTGGCTTTAATGTTGTGGCTGATCAGTGTATGCTATCTCTTTAACAGTACAGCAAGGCAAACAATGTAATCAGAAATGCAAAAAGAAGGAAAGTTGGAAGCTCAAAATAAATTAAATTGTAAATCTGGGGCTATACTAACTGGGTAACCCTAACTGAATAAATTGAAAAACAAAGAAGGAAAAGTAGTGTCCCATCTCCCAGCAGTTCAAATAAAACTTAATAATTTTTTTTATTTATGAGTGGAAGTAAGGGAAATAAATTTCCAAATCAAGGTATATGTAGTCCTAACCGCATTTGAATAGCTAGAATGATGTGTTGCTAAAAGTATTCTACTAAATTAGAGATATATAACAAGTATGTTGCAACCGATTGTTTACTGTATCAAATCTTCACTTGAAGAGAGAACAGTATTTTTCGTATACACATGTTATGTCCGTATAGGACTATCTTCTCAGCGGATTATTGCCTAACCATTGCTTCAGAATCTTAAAGCTAAACTGGTTAATTTAATAGTACAGAATAATAATATACACGCTGTGAAAGACAAATAAGTAGCTCTAAAACACCTAAAAGAGTGGTATCCCTTACACCGCTAAAAACATAATATAATACATACAGAGTTATAGGTGGAGCTGTGGAGTACCTTGAACAATCTGGAAAATAGAATATATGCAAATAGCGTAGTATGTCTATACAATATGTAGCATATAAAAATGAGAATAAAAGCACTCACAAGGATGGAGTCATACCGTCATATGACTCTTAAAGTATGTTCTCTTGGACCATTAGGGGGTTGTCCAAACCCTTCTTTTGTTGATTGCTTGTTATTTCTCCTGATGGTCTTCAATAAAGATACTCAGTATGCCAGGGATCTTGGAAAATAATTCTTGTTTATTTGTAGATAAAATAATAAAATGGCAATATACTAAACCAATATATATTGGGTGTAGATATAGTCCAATAAAATATTACACATGGCACTATTACTACCAAGAATCATTTTAAAGATGTAGATGCCAACAGCTACATCAGAAGAGAGAGTTGTCACTACCTTCCTTGGTTAAGTAACGCTCCGAAAGGACAATTCCTACGTATAAGAAGGAATTGTACGAATGAACAAGACTTTTTAGAGCAAGCAAATAAGATTAAAGTACAATTTCTGGAAAAAGGTTATGACGATGTTTCCCTCCAATTAGCCATAAATGAGGTTCAAGAAATACAAAGAACAGACCTTCTAAAATATAAACAGAAAAAGAAAGATTTAATTAAGAAACAAGACATCCCCTTCATATGCAACTACCATGGCAACAGTAGGAAAATGCATAAAATTATAGGAAAACATTGGCATATACTAAAAGATGACCCTATTCTTAAAAATATATTACCAGAAAAACCAAAAGTCATCTTTAGAGGTGTAAAAAACTTGAGAAACACTTTAGTTAAAAGTAGTAATAAAGAACAAACAGTAGGACAAACCTTCCTTACAATAGGTAAAGGATTTTATGGATGCGGACAGTGTCTAGCATGTAAAAATACAAAGAATAAAAAAAGACACCTAACAGACCTAGAATCCATTATTAACAAGAAATTTACCATTAGAGATCATCTAACATGCCATTCGAAGGGAGTGATCTATATTTTAAAATGTCCCTGCAATCTTCTATATGTAGGCCGTACAATTCGTAAATTGAATTTAAGAATAGCGGAACATATAAGAAACATCAAAAATGGAGTCGAAACCCATAGTGTTTCAAATCATTTTAAACATGTTCACCAACAAAATCCAGAAGGAATGTTTTTTTGTGCTTTAAAATTAGTAAAAAAAGATTGGAGAGGTGGTGATTATGTAAACAAATTAGGAAAGGAAGAGATGAAGTTCATATTCAATTTTGACACTATGATTCCAAACGGTCTGAACAATGATTTTGAATTATGCCACTTTATGCATTAGTTTTAGCCTATCTTGGTTTCATATTATTTTATGGAAGTTTTTAGGCATCTTTTTATACACTTATATACTATTTTTGTGTTTCTTTTACTATTGGGTATTATATGTATTTTATTCAGTTTTTACTGTGCATTTTTATAAATTTTCTAGAAATGACATTCTGCCCCTTTAAGATTGTGATAGCAATCTTCTAAAACTAATAGAATTAGTTTTTATTCCTTCTCATTAAATTTGATTTTTACTCTTTTCCATATTATCTGACTTTTTATATTATTTTTATTTAAAACATAGCACTTATAATTCTATATGTCACACTCTATTGGTGTAAATATAGGCAGAACGCCATTTTTTATGTTTGCATTTGGCCACCTGATGTGAGGCTGGGAGTGGAGCGCACGTGCGTTCCACCTGAGTGTGACCCGGAAGTAGAGAGAGACCCGGAAGTGAATTTGTGAGTGCTTTTATTCTCATTTTTATATGCTATATATTGTATAGACATACTACGCTATTTGCATATATTCTATTTTCCAGATTGTTCAAGGTACTCCACAGCTCCACCTATAACTCTGTATGTATTATAAACTGGTTAATTTGTCTAGTAAAAATTTTATATCTACTGAATACAACAATGTGGTCTATGCTTAGATTAGATAGAGAGTATACAAGCCATTGCAAACAGATATGAAAAAAAGTTTGTAGTTTGGTTAATATAATTTGATGTAGCTAGAGACCGTTATGTATGTGTTTATAATGAAAAAGATAAATGAAGAGATGTATAGATATAAATACAATCATGCACACTCTGTCTAATATCTAGAGGTAAAAGTTGACCTGGAATCCATAAAAGTGGATCTAGATAAGTAGTACAATTTAATTAATACATTGGCCTCGTAAAATCATCATCAAATAGGTTGCATGACCTAAGTCTTTATAGCTAATGCTAAGCTAAATTAATTTTATGTCCTGTGCTTTCGGCGCAGAGAAATTCAATAGGTATATATACTCCAGCCCATCTCATGCTCTTTGTCCTTGTATGGTTGCTTGCTATTCCCAGTAGCCTTTATACTGTCTTGTATTAATCTGGAATTTTGTATTTGGCTTTTCTTGACTATTCTGTTCTCTGGCATCCTCACCCAGCTTTGTCTTTGTTACCTGATCTCTGGCTCCTTCTGAGTCAGTCTTTGACCTGTCTTTTACCTTTTACCATTTATGCATTTGTTTATACTTTGAGCCCAGCCACTGTAAGGACTGTAATTCAGATGTCAACATAATTTTTGTCTTATTGCTTTGATGAATAGGTCAGTTAATGTGTACCAATTTAAGATTTCATCAAGTCAAGCCACTTTAATTATGCAGACTGTGAATGAACTAATGAGATGAAAAGACTGCTTTTACTTAAATATTGAAACAACAGGGGTATAGTCTCAGTTTTGATACTTTGGAAATCTTTGGCCTATAATTAGTTGTATTTTAAAGTACCTTGTGAATTGCAAATTTTGCTTTAAAAGGACACTACAGTCACAAAAAAAACCCCAAAAAACTTAGCTTAATGAAACCGTTTTGGTGTAGATATCATGCCCCTGCAGTTTCACTGCTCAATTCTCCATTTAGGAGTTAAGTTACGTTGTTTATGCAGCTCTAGTCACACCTCCCTGCATGTGAATTACACAGCCTTCCTAAACACTTCCAATAAAGAGACATCTAATATTTAAACTTCCTTTATTGCAAATTCTGTTTAACCCCCTAAGGACCAAACTTCTGGAATAAAAGGGAATCATGACATGTCACACATGTCATGTGTCCTTAAGGGGTTAATTTAGAATTTCTTATCTCCTGCTCTGTTAACAGCTTGCTAGATCCTGCAAGAGACTCCTGTGTGTAATTAAAGTTCAATTTACAGAGCAGGAGATAAAAACTTTTAAAGTAAGTTACATCTGATGTAACCATGAAACTTTTTTTTTTTTCTTTTTGCTGTGCATGATTGTTACAACTATCACAACAGCTAGTGCAGGCATGTCAGTAAACAGAGAGATACAAATATATGGCATTTGAAAACATTGTTAACTTTGTGTGTACTAGTAGAGGTACATTAACTGAGTTATGAGTCAAGTTGTTGCAGTCGGGGCTCCTCTCCTCCTTGGTATGAAAGGGACAGTCCTCGTCGGGTCCCAGGTGTGTGGAGTGGTGGGTGCTTTGGGGGGCCCAGTTTCCGTAGGGAGCCCCAGAGTGTGGAGGAAAGAGTCCACCTCTGTGAGAGAGAAGAGCTTCATGGTGGTGACGATGTGGACTACTGACAGTTCTTTAGGCATTGTCCAACGGTAGTCTATACCAGCAGCTTGTAGTTGTAGGGTCACTGGGCCCATAGTTCTCCTCCATTGGAGAGTGGACCTGGTTAAGTCCTGGAAAAACATGAGTTTGGTGGACTCTAAATCAAGCGGCATTTTGCCCTTCAGAGCTGCAAAGATGGTAGTCCTGTCCATTAGGGACTGACACCATAAAATTACATCTTGGGATGCCAAAAGTGGAGCCTGTCTTGATTTGGAGATGCAGAAGATTCCGACAAATGCCACCTTTTTTGCTTGCGACTGAGGTAGCAATGTGGCGAGGAGATGTCTAAGATAATGTGGTAGTTCAGGCTGGCTAATCTCATCAGGAATGCCTCTAATTTTTATGTTTGCTCTGTGGCTCCTGACTTCTGCGGCATCCAGCTTGTTAAGCAGGGCTGAATGGGAGGACTGGAGTGGCTGCACTGTTTCTTTAAGGCCCTTCACTTCTTGCTATATAGCTAGTATGTCCTCCTCTGAGGTTTTCACGTGGTCGGTCACCAGCTGAACCTCCGTTCTCATTAGGGCCATGTCAGCGGCAGACATCTGCTTCATTTCTAGCAGGAGGTTTTTAATATCCAGTTTGGTAGCCAGAGTCAGCGCATCAGGGTAGATCTGTGCGTTCAGGTGTAGCTGTGGGTCTGAGGCTTCCTCCAGAGCTTGCTCTGAGCCCATGGAACCAGTGTCTAGTTCAGGCATGGCAGCCATCTTTGGGGCAGTTGATGTTTTTTGTCGAAACCCAGGAATGGCGCCTGCACGGTTTGGCTGATAAGCTCCGCCTCCCTGCAACCATTTTAAAAAAAAATGCAGGCTGTGACTCACAGCCAGGGGAGGTGTGACTAAGGTTGCATAAACAGAAACAAAAGTAATTTAACTCCTAAATGACAAAGAATTGAGCAGTGACTGCAGTGGCATGATCTATACACCAAGACTGCTTCATTACGCTAAAGTTGTTTTGGTGAATATAGTGTCCCTTTAATCACTTTTAACTTCGTTTTGAACTTTGTATTTCACTTTTTTGTTTTCTAAAACTAGAAATTTCCATCAACCCCTTCCCGACGTCGGATGTACCAGGGACGTCCGACAAAAAACGGCCATTAATGACTGCGGACGTACCTGGTACATCCGATAATAAATCCCCACTTACCTGATCGCTGGCGATCCCCCACCGGCAATTGCGATCCTGAGAGCTCGGGCAGACCCCCTCTCGGAATAGCCGGCTTGTGCATCTTATAAAAGGTGAGTGCAGTCCCTAGGTTTCATATATCTATATAATTGGAAGTCTAGCCAACTCCTTGGTTTTGCACCCCTCCCTGTCACAGGTGCCTCATCCCAGGGCCCTATTTAGCCTTTTACTGCAGAGAACCCCAGGTGGATTTTTTTCCCCTCAAGTAAGTGTGTTAATCTCATAAGAGCAGACATTATGCAGTTAGAGCAAGACCTGCCAAAGATGGGGTACAATGATGTTATGGCAGGCCTATGCAATATATGATCATATAATGTAACTATGCCCCCATTATTTTTGCCTAGATTAGGTGTTTTTAAATATAAAAAACTAATAATATCTGTCAACATTTAGTGGTAAGTGAGTGCGCTAGATCTTGTGTATTGTAGAAATTGGCCCCCATCAGCACTCCATTTATGCATGTTCAGCTGAGTGCAGCCCCCGGTTTCATATGTATGTATGCAATGTGTGTGTGTGTGTGTGTGTGTGTGTATATATATATATATATATATATATATATATATATATATATATATATATATGTAGGAAGGCCATTGTGCCTGAATTTGTGGGAGGAGTTATTTATCCTATTTAAACCCCAGGCTCCTATTCACCTATGCTGTTCTCGCTGGTTGACTGTTCCCATAGCAACCAGCATTTCTGTTTTGGAGAATCCCGCCAAAATTAAAACTGCAGCGTCCACTGCTCCGACCTCCAGCCTAACCCTTCCATCCACCTGGCTTCCGCACACGAGAACCGTCACACACACTTAACGTTCGGTTATTCCTACGTTCGGGCCTAAAAACGCAGGGATAGGCTCCCTTTTTCACATATCTATTAGTTTCCCGTTCACCTGTTCATTCGTATAAATATCTTTCGGTTGCTTTTTGCAAAATTCTTACAAAGCTCCCAATACATTTTCACGTATTAAACTGTAACTATTCGTACATATGAACGGTCGATGCATTTAGCATATTGTTAGTTCACTTATTTCTTCACATAATCATTCGTACCGTTTTTCGAAAGTTTCTTTGTTATATACTGGTTCACTTTGTCATTCGTTTAATTTAGCACTTTGTTTAAAAAAAAATCAATTCGTTTGTAAACCAGTCTTCCAAATGTATTCTCTTACATTTTCCTCTTTCAAATAGGGGAATCGGTCACCTATACCACTTCTGCTTCACTATATTAAGAGTTTTGATTTTACAATGTCACTTGGGTTATGTCACAACTGCGTTAAAACTTCAGGAGCACCTTATCTATATCACCCTCCGCTTCTGGCGTCCCACAGTCTTCTATTATAAGCATACTCCTATCACAGTTTGGTTTTCAATACTCTATCAGTTTTTAATATGCTAACCAACTAAGTCTAAATATCTGTTTCTAAGTCTCCCTTATACGTCAATACATACATCCTATTCAGAGGGTTAATTTTCCTGTTTCACCATTCACACTATATTAAACCTCTTGCAATTTTTGTTTCTCTCAAATACTTTACTTAGCTCTATGTCATGGCCCTTAGTACCAATAACTATATCGGTCCCACTAGGCCAACCCCCCCCCCCACCTCACCACAGAGGTTCGCCCAACGGCCCAAATCATAGTTAGCCGCCTCGCACTCCCGTCTACAGGGCTCCAGTCAGGGCCTCACAAGTCACGGCCACACATATTATAGAGTTTGGAAGTATTAGATAGTGGGCGATACCTTTTAGAGTGAGTGCAATATTAGAACACCCATGAAGGTGTTTATAGGAGCTTAGGGATCTACCTTGAGGCTGATACATAGGTTGTATTAGATATCTAGCTCTCTTTGTTTAGCAGTTTAGCAGTTAAGTACCTTTAGGATAGGGGGCTTTTATTATCATTCTGGATAAGACTGCCTGGGGCATCCACAATATCTGGCTCTACAGATTGACCCATATCTATCTCTTTTCTGCACCTCCAATTATTTCAGTAATCTTTACTTACTATAATCTTATTGAAATATATCAGCCTAACCGTTTTTTCTTTACTTTTTAGCCCCATTGATAACATAAGACAATTGGACTATTGCACAATTTAGGCAACGGAATTATCTTTACCTCCATATTAGTATTTTTTTTTGGGGGGGGGCGTGGGGGGGGCGATTCAGTACAGTGTCCTCTGAGTTTTTTGGCTATTTTAATAAAAGAGTCATTAAAGGTTTTTTGTTTATTATTTTTTCCTACTTAGCTGTTAAACAAGGACACTTGAGGGCATTTTGGAACTTATATATATTAAATGTTCCTTCTCCCTCTCCCTTTAATTAGCCCTTTATACTAGCTAGTTTAATTTGTGCACTGTTATTTAATGTTGTCCATTTACTATTTATGTCAACTGAGAATCCATGCCTAAAGTACAGTGTGAGAGAAAAATAATACAAAAGTTTGACAAAGACTGTTGGTAGAATTAATGCAATTAGTGTTAAAATACCACCATTTGAAATACCCTAGAGTGTCTACTTTTCAAAAATATATGGTTTGATGGGGTTAAAATTACATTGTAAAACCAAGGCAACGAGTAAGCGCTAAATAACACAATGTGGCAGCAACCCTATAAGGGAATCCCTCAAAAACCCTTAGACATAACACAGAGAGAAAAAATAAAATAAAAGTAAGGGCTGCGCCAAGTAAAACTGAGTATGGAACAAATAGTCCAGATAAAATGAGTGAATAAAAAGAGAAAGTCTTATCTAGAGACGTCTGTTGGAGTCGTATTGTATGGCAATACTTGGTCCAGAACAATTGTCCTTATTGTTTTCTTCCTTGTGGATCAGCTCATATGCAAGAGATAAAAAATAGAGATCCAAATAGTGTAGTATGTTTGATAGTTGAGGAAGTGAAAGTATAAAAATCTGGAATGCAAACTCACATTTAAAAGAGCTAGAACCCGCTCTGGTGTGAAAGGCGTACAGCGGTTTGATCCCCGCTTATGGGATATGAAGTAAATTTCCTTCGTCTGTGATATGTTTCCTCCGTCCGTGGTATGATAAGCACTCGGGTAAAAAGAAACAGCCAATAGTGTTCACTGGATAAGAAACTTTTAGATAAAATAATAAAATAAAATGGGTACTCACAAGATAGGAGCAGATCAACTGCTCCTTATTGTTAGCGCTGGTGGTATAATCCCCACCTAGGATTACTTGGAGTCCGGTGTGATAAAAGGATGCCAGGTAAAATGTAAATTAACGTGTATTAAAAGATAAGTGGTACAATTAAAAGCAACCAAATATACTTTAATATTTAAAAATACACAATATAATAACCATAAACGCGTTTCGCCAATACGGCGTTATCAATATGGAGAAAGAACCTGATACCTGGCAGAAGAATCATTAAATAGCAAATACAATCCTTTGAAATTGGCGCCAAAATGTGAGCAGCCAATCACAATGTGGATTGGGATTAATATAGATAAGACATAATAAAAACAGAAAAAATACAATATGTATAAATTAAGATACATTATACCAACTTAAATATGTAAAATCAATAAAATATATACTTAAAATAATAAAATATAGCACGGTCACGTGACCGGCACAAAAACGAAAGGGGTTTCTGGGAGATGTAGTTTGACGCCGGCAAGCACTGCGCAGCCGCCGGCGTCTAAATGGGAAAATGTAGAGGGCGTCAGCACGCATGGGAAATGCGTCTTATGCCAGAGAGGGGGCGCGGTTAGAATATACAGCGTCAGCACGCATGAAACATGCGGCTGACGTCAAGGGGAGGGGCATTAATTGTAGTGACGACGGCACGTATATAATGTGTGGGTACAGTAAACAAATAATGGGAAAATCACAGCTAAACACAAACACAGCAGAAATGTAAAAACAGCCCTGGTCCGTAACGGTAAGAAAATTGAAAAGCGGTCTGGTCACTAAGGGGTTAAGACAGTTTTCTTTAGGTGGTCAAATGTTTGAAGGTTTACATATAAAGAAATGCTCCTCTCAGTCTCATTGGATATTTCACCTTTCAGCATCGAGAATTATTAGCACAGCACTCACCTAAGAGGTTTTGACCTTCACGTGGCAGATGAGCTTACCCTTTATCCACCAGTTAATAAACTGTGCATATGGATTAGGGATAGTGTGCAAGCAACATTTTCTTTGGTTTTTATTGTACATGAAGAATTTCAACTATAAGACAATTTTATGTAATAAAATGGTTAACTGCATTTAGTACAACACATGTTCTTCTTTCTTCAACAACATTATCTATACTGTGTATGCCAGGTTATGTCCCTGTTGGATATTCGGTTCTCTATATTTAGGACCCATTCTACGTACCGCAGGTTCTATAGCAACTAAACAATCCAAGGCAGGGGGAAGGTAAAATAGCTCTAAGAGAGCTAACTAGTATTGTGATATTATGAAATAGCTTTGTATTTTAGAGCAAATTAGCATATTATTATAAATCTTAGAAAGCAGACAAAAACAGGTATATAGGTGCACCAAAAGTGAACCTACAACCCCTCCTAGAGATATGTATAATAGTATAGCTTAGTCTGTTAATAAATATGAAGCCTATAGTAGCGTAGGTATTTTGAGATATACTGCAAAAGAAATAGCTATAAGATAAATAAAATGACAACCTTATAAGGTTAACTCCTATGTCCAGAAAAAACTCTTAGTAAAACCTCCATCACCTCACTGGTATAGATAAGGTAAAACAAGCTTTATTAAATATGGCTCATGGGAGTATCACCAAGAGATGGTACTAGTGGTGTAGAGAAACGTGGCTAGGCAGTAAACAAATATATCAAGTAATAGAATATCTAAGATGAGCAAAAGAGAAATATAATTAGAAAAAGTTCTCTAAGCAGCAAGACAGATGTAGATGGATAGGGTTATATAAGGTCCCATGAGGACAGTCCTCTCGGATATAATTCCCCTGTTTAGCTATAGCTCAGGATGGTAAATACTATCCAATCCACAGTCCCACCAATAGTTACTTATATGCAATCTAAGAAGTTATAGTCTATTGGACCAAAGGCTGAATATGATGCCAAATAGACTGAAGAAACTTGCCAAATCACCACTTAGATATAAACAGTATAAAGGAAGAGAGTAAATAAAGGTACTGGTGTCAGTAAAAGACTGACATAAAAAATATTAAACTAATCAAAGGCTCTCTCCCTATTAAACTTACTAGATAGACATAGGAGGATAGATATAAAGTAGAAATAAATAAGTAATTAGAGCAACATGCCAACCATTAGCGAAACAAAATAAGGTGCCCAGTAAAAAACGCCCGATGCGCGTTTCTGTGCAGTACTACATGCATCTTCGTCAGGGGTCAGCGTTGTAATGACAGTGATCTCTTTTTATATTCTATTATACACATGGGGGGATGAGTACTGGCCAATGATATGTCTGTAAATTAATTGGGGGGGGGGGGGTTGGTAGAGCAAGACAACCCTGTGGCTGGTGTAAGCCAATCACAGTTTCTCAGTTCAATCCTAAGGTTGGTTTGCTTGACGTTGTAAGGGAGGCGTATGTATGTGTGTGAGCTCACAGCTCAGTCATTTACCGCCCACCAAACTGTATGTACCAATGATATACATGAGTGGGAGGGATTTCCAGTGCTTGCTGTAATTAGTGAGAGAAAGGTACAAGGTACTATAGCGCTGTGGTAATACGATCACAGCCTATATTTAAAAAGAGACTCATGATTAATGGGGCGTATTGACGGGTAAACAAATTATTATCATAACGCCACAATCCAATGTATCCCATGTTGCGTGGAGACGATGCCCAACTTGATAGAAAGTGAAATTGTCACACAACTGCGAATCATCCATATGCAATCTAGGGCCACTGATCGCTCGTATACCTGTCATCATTATACATATATCAGACACAAGGGTAGTGAAAGTGATCAAGGACTTATGCTGATCACTCACTATGTCCCATGTTCCAACCATGTATCCCACCCGGGTAGCTGTCGTATAAATTAAAAGGCTACTATGAACAGATCAAGACCTATATCATGAGCAAGGGTCATGATGTGTGGGGCGTTTTTACGGATGAATGGATTCATATCCTACTTCAAACTGAGAAAAAAGGAGTCTCACTCATTATCGAACTGTGCATAGAGATAGCGTTATCAACCAGCCATCAGGATCAGCATGCAATACCGGGCCACTGATCCCTATTATAACTATCCTAGTTACACACATATATGATCATGAGTGACATAGCGGATCACAGGACTATACCGATCTGCACACAGCCCCTTGGGTACCCAATCCCTCCCATCTGTCCAATGTGCCGATAGTATAGCCACCCAGGGTAACCACTAGGGACTACCAGTTAGTACCTACCCCCAACGATAAAGAAAATTCGAATGGGTAAGTGTGTTCCCTTTCAGTCACATTTGAGGGTGTGTACTTGGCGTTATGATTATTTATTTACCCATCAATACGCCCCACTAATCATGAGTTTCTTTTTACATATAGGCTGTGATCGTATAACCACAGTGCTATAATTCCTTTGATACCTTTCTCTCACCAGTTACGGCAAAAACTGGAAATCCCTCCCACTCATGTATATCATTGGTACATACTGTTTGGTGGGCGGTAAATGACTGAGCTGTGAGCTCACACACATACATACGCCTCCCTTACAACATAGAGCAAACCAACCTTGGGATTCGACTGTGATTGGCTGACACCAGCCACGGGGTGGTCTTGATCTACCACACCCCCAATTAATTTTCAGACATATCATTGGCCAGTACTCATCCCCCCACATGGATAATAGGATGTAGCGGAGCGGCAACATTAAATCCCATGATCTCCGCTGGTTAAGAAAGTAATGCACAGTCAAGCGCTGAAAAGTAAGGCAATATCCCAAATCTCCCAGTAACCGGACGAAACACAGTTCTGAGAGTCAACTGAGGCTTTATTCACAGGCTCCACAATTTATACAATTCCCCATGCAAAGGGTTTCCTGAGTCCTATTCCAGGGGTATTCCAGGAGTGGACTACGTGGGGAACTTAAAGTACAGAGCCTTTCTTCCATCAGTCACTGCTGCACGAGAGGGATACTCCCACTAGAATGTACCGTTAAGTGGATTATCCCTCCGTGCAGCAGAACCGGCAATTTATATTAAAATACACATCTTTTCGAATATCAGGTTGATTTGCACGAATGGACGTTCGGTAGATAGCTGGGGTCTGAGCGCATCATTCGTGAGATTACCGCTCAGATCCCAGCTAAAACAACCGAACGTCGCACGAAAAACATATTCACCAAAACATGCATTCAAAAGACCGATTGGCATATGGGGAATAAAATACCGAAAGGCCCGGAACTCCTGAACGGCCTGGAAGTCCAGCGGTGTTCGCGCCGTCGAGTAGCCGTTTTTAGTACCACGCGCTCGACGACCAAACACCGCTGGGGGAACAAAGGATCCAAGATGGCCGACCACCGCGTGGTCGGTAGTCGAACGACGGCCACCTAGGAGAGCCTCTAATTACTGATTGCAACATTGTTGCAATCGGTTAACAAGCGCCACACGTCTCTTAATGTGTGGGCTATTACAGGGTGGTTTATTCGGTTCACGAACGGCCCGCAAAGGTGCCGTTCGTGAAACGAAACACAATACAGCTATCTGCTTTGGGCAGATAGCTAATACAGGCAATACAATGTTATACAGTCAGCATACATTACACCCAGGGACAGACATATCACCACAACCATACAGGTAACCCTTTAAGCCACAGTCTCTGTATAATGTCCAAGTGGCTAGGTTTGCCACATAGGATATAAAAAGAGATCACTGTCATTACAGCGTTTGACCCCTGACAAAGATGCATGTAGTACTGCACCGAAATGCGTGCAGGGCGCTTTAGCTTTGGGTGTTTTTCACAGGGCACTTTATTTTGTTTCACTAATGGTTGGCATGTTGCTCTAATTACTTATTTATTTCTACTTTATATCTATCCTCCTATGTCTATCTAGTAAGTTTAATAGAGAGAGAGCCTTTGACTAGTTTAATATTTTTATGTCCGTCTTTTACTGACACCAGTACCTTTATTTCCTCTCTTCCTTTATA